CGATGTATTAGCTGAGTCTTGAAAGGCCACCCTTCGGCTTTGACCTGACTGGATTCTGTGTATCACCTACTCATGGCGGCTATCTCTGCTGCCACTATTACTCACACCTGCATCACAGAACAGATTACTTTCGTAACCGCTCCAAGCGTCAACGTCTGGATATTGTGTAGCAGGTCGTGATGTCACAAGTGATATCCTCACCACGTCAATAGGTGATAGGTCGACCTATCGACCATGCTTTTACTCAGGGACGAAATATAATGGAGTCTAGAAAGGACAACTTTCGGTCATGTATTCAAATGCATCTGACCTCGTATCAGAACGTCCGTAGTTCGAATCCCAGTTTGTAACCGATCACATGACCCTAAACATATGAGCAACACTTTTGATGTTCTTTTGATTTTTTCACGATATGACGTTTATCAAGATATAAGAATTGCACAAATACATACAAAATCATTGATTATGGTCATGTGGAGTCAACGACAGAGTCACCGTTTGAGTTTCAACTCAATTAATTTGCAATACGACGTTTTGGCGTAGGTGCTATCGAAGCGAGTGATTAACAATTGGGTAGGACATGCAGAGATGCTATACACAGACAATTACAAACAACAACAACAGGATGACAGATGAAGAAGCCTGGGGACGGAGCCTGTAACAAGACGGTGGTGACAGTTACAGTTAGTAGTTGACACGTATACCACGCGGTTTTAGTGGGTGTAGTGATCACGTTAACCCTGATCTCTGCTGATGGTTAGCTTGGATGTTTTCATGTGGATGGCTTCTGTTAGTTTTTTAATGGTGTTGGTTTCTGGCTGAAGGCAATGGTGATGGGTTCGATCCCTTGGGTGTTGCTGTCTTTGATCTCATACCAAGTCTGGTTTGTCTGTTGATCAGTGGTGTGTCATTTCTTGACATACTGTGTGTCTGCACAACTGCACTTGATCTTGTAGACTGTGGTCGTGGGTGAGATTTGCTTGTGATCGGGTGGTATCTGATCTGGGCGATTGTCTTCAAGGTGGTTTTGCTGATGTAGGCGGCATCTTAATTTATGTTGAATTGTTTGAGGGGTTTTCTAACTTTCTGACTGGCTTGCTTATGCTTGGGAGGATTCTTGTGGTTTGAGTCTATGTTACATTGTATATTACTAAAGCTGCTTTTCAGATCATTACAGGAGCACTGAAGGCAAAGTTGACATGGATTTTAACGTCGGTATTTGTCACTGAGAGGGATTTTGTATACGTTGGAAATAGTAAATGTGTTTGACTGCATGTCCGTGAATATCCCCAAGTTCAGAAAGTCCGAACGTCGTACATCCTGTCTGTAAAGGTTCCTGCTCACACAAACCATTATTACTTTTATTTAGGACATCTTGGAAAAAATGACCACATCGTTGCTTGATGAAGCCAATCAGAACTGATTATTTGTTTTTCTGGATCAAGTGCACCTGCCTGAAAGTCAAATGAACTCATGTCATGGTCTGTTTGTACGCAGCGCTCCGTAAACGCCTTCTCGTGCATATTCCTATCAGTGATGAAATATTAATTTTTCAAGATGTCCTGATCCGATTTTCATAGCAGCCATATTAAAAAAAAACAATAAATGTCCATTATTCGGCCATCATCTTATTTTTAAAAGATGTAATACAATTTGTATATGTGCAGTTAGCGAGGGGTCCTAACATAATATCTGACTAACAACTCATTATTCTTCCAAAAGGCCTTCTGTTGAAATTATCAATACAAACACAGTTTAACAAGATTGCTTATGATAATTACGTATGCAGTGGTCTAAACATTTAAGAGTGCATAGTAACAATTGGTGGTACGGTAGTTGTGCAAGGCTCGTAAATCACCGTGCATGAATTCAGAGATGGCGCTGATAGCCTTGACATTTTCCCCACAGTCACGTCGACTTCCTCGACAGGGTGGGCGATTTCAGGCAGAGCAACACAGACTGCCAAGAACGAGCAGGTGTTGTTGTGTCATAGCTAATGGTTATAAAAGCAGGTTAGTGTTTATATTAAAGTCGTTAACATGCTGGGGGGCGTCTGAAAGACATCAATCTGGTGAGTGGGCGTTGTGCTCACAGACAGATTTAATTGAATAGAAATGATGTTCCCTGCTACCCGATAAGACCCAAGACAGATTACACTGTGATTGCTTAAGCAGAAATAGTAACTTTACTTATGAAAATTATGTTATGAAGTTATGTACTGATCAGAGGAGAAGGTCAACCATGAGTGAGTGAGTTTAAGTGTTACACCGCAATGGCATTGTTTCATCCATATAGCAATTATGAAATAAAAAAACATGCATCTAATGAATAATATAATTTTAATCCAGACAGGAATGGCTGCTCAAAGTGCTCCAAAGAACAATGAAAGATAATGGAATCAATATTTTGCAATGAAATGGAGTATGATTTTTTCTAGAAAATACAAACGACAGTTCATAGATGCTCCAGTGAAGTACACTATACATACAGTTAAAACTCCTTATTGAATATATTCGCGATATCCGTAGTACGAGACAGCAGGGTGTCGGTGGATCATTATGTCAATAAGGATTCCGCTTTGACCATATCTTAAAGATATATCAAGAATTACATTTCGATTTAACCTGATTTCGCTGGATGTTAGAATTGTGCGGTATTATTTCTGTTTTGTTTTGTCTTTTGAACAATATATCGACTGTCACAAACTAATTTTTAGGAAGCAATAAGAACATATAACCCAAACGCTCTACGATTAATCGATGTCTTGTTGTGGGACGTCAATAGCGACTATGTCCCCCAATATTTTCAAAACAATTCAAGGTAGCCATCGACTAGTCCCGAAAGGTTGGAAGACGTAAAGTCAAACGTGACCTAAATACGTCACAACGGATTTTGGCACGCGACACCAGTGTTATAATTAACATACACTATCCAGATTGTACTATCTACTCTTATGGGTAGATAATCCCGAGACACTAAAATTACCTGTCAGTAATATGTCTCATTTTGTCATTAAGCAGCGCTTGGAAACCGTTGAAACTCTAGCCTGCAATATTACTTGCCTCGCAAGAGGTTTCCTATTTTTCATTATCTGTTAATAGTCTTACTTCTTTCACTCGGACAGATAATTAAATCGCGAAAGATTAAAGTTGTGATGACACCAAAAAAAACATCCTCATGACGACCACGCAAGCTGTACTGTGACTGTTATAAATGTTATATTTGGGATAACACTTTCTTAGTGAAATACAGATTTTCTACTACTAAAGTGTTATCCCAAATATAACATTTGTTACATTTGACCATTTTCTAAATGGGATTGTGTGTTCAAAGCCGTGTGAGAGCCGTTCCAATTTACACTTGTCAGAGGGGTACACAAAGTACATGATCTAGACTACCAGTTGTCGGACTTTCATTTTATGCCTCGGTGGCTGAGTGAGTTAGATCGCTGACTTTGTGTGTTGGCGATTAGGTGCCTCACTCTGGCAGTGTGAGTTCGAATCCCGGACGAGACTCCATCCTCCACCCCCCCCCCCCCCCCCCAAAAAAAATAAAAAAATAAATAAAAAATAAAAAATAGAAATAAAAAAATTAAAAATATATGTACTTTACTAACAAAGTGTTATCCTAAATATAACGTTTGTTACATTTGACCACTTTCTAAATGGCATTATGTGTTCATGTACTGCGACTGTTGTTGATATCTGTGTCAATAAATTTGTTCGAAGTGTTATTAAAACACGGGCAGCTCCCTTATGTTATACCATTCTGCTATGCCCGCGCTAACCAATAAGTTAAATACTAGTAGGTAAAACACTACCCCCAGAGCAGGTCGGCCTAGCAGTACCTTTTCGCGTATATCAGTCATCTAGGGAGTAGATAAACACAATCATTATGGGATTATTTTGGGGGCTGTAGATAAGAAAATGCGTGTAAACCAGTTTACAGTTTTCTGCTCGGGATTTTAATCAAAGTAAAGACATGTGTCGTATTATTGGATGCTTGGTCAACAAGATTCTACGTCCGCGATGACAGGGAAAGAGCGTGAGATCTAACTAAGCGTTTGCCTGTCCCGAGTGACACAGTGACCCTTTCACAATTTTACCAATACCTCCCCGTTAGGTTTATTACTGAGTGACAAGTCTCACGCTCACAAATTGTTTGATTTATTGATTGGATAAGAGTTCTAACTCACTCAAAATCTAATGTTGCAATAAAATATGGGTGAACGTGCCACGATATCAAAACAAACATTAAAACCTGGATCCTTTCAGCGGATACCGGTATGTCGGCCTGGCAGCACTACCTGCAACTGTTAACCCTCTAGGTGTCGGTCTGGCAGCACTACCTGTATCTGTTAACCCTCTAGATGTCTACCTGGCAGCACTACCTTCAACTGTTAACCCTCTAGGTGTCGGCCTGGCAGCACTACCTGCAACTGTTAACCCTCTAGGTGTCGGCCTGGCAGCACTACCTGTATCTGTTAACCCTCTAGGTGTCGGCCTGGCAGCACTACCTGTATCTGTTAACCCTCTAGGTGTCGGCCTGGCAGCACTACCTGCAACTGTTAACCCTCTAGGTGTCGGCCTGGCAGCACTACCTGTATCTGTTAACCCTCTAGATGTCTACCTGGCAGCACTACCTGCAACTGTTAACCCTCTAGATGTCTACCTGGCCGCACTGCCTGCAACTGTTAACCCTCTATGTGTCTACCTAGCAGCACTACCTGCAACTGTTAACCCTCTAGATGTCTACCTGGCATCATTACCTGCAACTGTTAACCCTCTAGATGTCTGCCTGGCAGCACTACCTGCAACTGTTAACCCTCTAGGTGTCTGCCTGGCAGCATTACCTGCAACTGTTAACCCTCTAGATGTCTGCCTGACATCATTACCTGCAACTGTTAACCCTCTACATGTCTACCTGGAAGCACTACCTGCAACTGTTAGATGTAATGCGAAAGAATAAACAAACAAACAAATGCATGTTTTTTGTTTTAGCTTTCCGGAGAGGATGTGACGAAGTCTATCGAGAAACACATGGCAGGCTATCCTGAGATGGCGTGCCTGTCAGTTGGTAAGTCGACTCTAGTGGTCCCGACCTCTTTGAAAACTACTTAAATAAAGAGGGACAAAAGAAAGTATGCCGAGTTTAGTTTTTTTATGTAACTGAAAGAACTGGTATTAAATCTGATTGTGTCTATTTAACCATCGCTCATTCCTGCAACAGTTTTGTAAAAAGTAATCTGTGGCCAGGTAATTTTGTGTAAATACACTATACTGATTGTTGTAAATTTGTGACGAAACAAGCAGATTTATTTTAAAAAATATCAGTAGTTGTGAATTAGGGAAATATGTTTTCATTTTTAAAAGTTTAAGATCTAGTTATATTTAAAAAAACAAAACCCTGTAGAAGTTTTCTTTGAGTGCTGACAAAGCGCCAGTACAGTTCACTTTTGGGATATAGTGTCAATAATTCCTGATATTTTCAGTTATAAAATCAAACGTTCATGTATGATAATATCAACGGAGAGGTATTATATAATAGTTTCTTCTGCCATTCAGTTTTTCTGCACCAGTGTCTGCATTCACCAGTCCCTCCTGTCAAGCAGTTCTTTGTATATGTTCTGCTGACATTTGTTACAGCGCGCTACCTTCAAAGCCCCTATCTCTACACGGCGCACGTGCTGCACGAGGCAACTAGCGGCACCGGCACTAACGACAACCTCTTGATGGCTGTCATCGTCGGGAGGTCAGAGGTAAGTTGACAAAAGTGAGTGAGTGAGTGAGTGTGGTTTTACGGCGCTTCCAGCAGTATTCCAGCAATAATACGTTGGAGGACACCAGAAATTGGATAAACACATTGTACCCATGTGGGGAATCGAACCTTGGTCTTCGGCGTGACGAGCGAACGCTTTATTTACTGGACCACCCAATCACCCCAAATTGACATAAGACCAACTTTTACTCTTTCGTATATTTCTATAAACACTTCCACATTATATCATTCTCTAATAAATTTAAATACATATCAGTCATTTACAAAATGAGTATTTTGCTTCCAATGCTTTGGTCAAACGAGAAAGCTGTTTGTCGTGAGAGGTGACTATATTTGGATCGGGTGATTTAGCGCTGAGTCTTGGTTAATTGTGTGATTACTCAGAGGGCGTGAGAACTTGCTCATTATATCAACCACAGGTTTGTCTGGTTCAGACTTGATTATTTACAGATAGTTGTGCTATAATTGAAATATTGCTGATTGCGGCGTCAAATATCAAATATGAATCAAAACTGATCATTTGAAACCTATACGAAATATGTTTCTCGTTCATCTGCAATCTACTCCTTCACTAAGAGTGAGTGAGTATGGTTCTACACCGCTTTTAGCAATATTCCAACAATCACGGCGGGGGACACCAGAAATGGGCTTCACACATTGTACCCATGTCGGGAATCGAACCCGGGTCTTCGGCGTGAAGAGCGAATGCTTTAGCCACTGGGCTACCCCACCGCCCCCTTATAACGAAGGGTCTTGTATCACTCTTTAGACGCCAGATTATTATTCACGTTTTCCAAGGATATAATACTGTCGGCAGCTTGTGCAACGTATTCAAGTTATGACCGAATTCGATTAATCTAGTCTAACCAAGTTACGATCACAGTTGCATTGCGAATAATGCAAGTAACATATATTGTTACAATTACAACTGATTATCTTCAACAGATTGACCTGGTAAACATCATGATGGCATACAAGGCCACCTTTAAGAAGTCACTGGAAGATGTCGTGCAGAGCGAGTGCAGCGGAGACTACCGGAAGCTGCTGTCCGCCATTTTGAAATCTCAATCTTGACTCAGCGCCTTGTGAAATATTACGGATGTAAAAACTCTCCATCTGTAAAGATACTAAATGAAATATGACACCCATGTAAGCTCCGGAGGACCACATGTGCCCACTTTACGTACATCACTGAAGCTGTCATTTTTATATGATTACTGACTAATATCAGAGAATATATCGTGTGATGTTCCGATTCATAAGGGGAAACGTAGCCTAGTCTTCTCTGCGACGCAGCCACGGAGTCATCTAACTAATGGGTTTTCCATTAACAGCTAATGTTGAATCAAATAAAACAGCATCATGTTCCGAGAAACATCGATTTTGTGTAAAAATATCTCGAAGAAATACAAAACGTATACGCTAAAGTGAGAATTATGTTGAAATCTTTGGCTGCAATATGAAGTCACATTAGTATCATAGGCTTTTTCTCTCGTTTGATTGTTTACATGTTCGCGGAATTGTATTTGAATTACATGTATATTTTATACAAGATTGAAACAATACCTTGATAAACAAATATTCAACTACATGGAGCTCAGGTAATATTTTAGTGGATTAGCAACTCGTGTGGAGGCGATGAGAGTTAATCCAAATGTTTACCACATCAACTCCAAACGTGGGATTCACACTAGAGTACAGGGAGATTGTTGTTCGTTTCACGGTTATAATACATGATTTATTCATCTTAGATGATTACGGGTTGACTGTAACGCTTTGCAAACAATCATAAATGCTTTTGCTAAATGCTGATGTGACACTCAAACAAAAGTATGTTACATTGTTATTATTTATCAATACAGGGTAATGTTATCTGTTTATGGTTAGAGCACCCGGTTCTACTATTTGTATCTATGCTGGTATTACACCGATGCTCGCATAGGCCACGTACACATTATGTATCAATGCAGGTTAATTCCTGTTCGTTTCAGGGTCAGGGTACACATGTTAGAACCTAAGGTGTATCATACTATAACGCATGACAAATAACTATCTAACTGCTGGTAATACGCTCATGCAAATGTATGCTATGTTTTCTTGATCTCTTGATGTTGTTTGATAAACGCGGTTTGAGTCCACTTTTTTAATAACCCTCGGTTTACCAGCCTCGACTATACAGTGCATAACGGATAACTGGTTAAATGCTTAATTGACAACTGTATAAAACTACTCTTGATATATTTAATATTATATCACATTTGTTGTAGACGTAGGGTTCATATTTATCACCCTAAGTCTTAACGCTTGCATTACACCCGGACAAACTAGTTGATCGCTGTAATGGACATATATAATAACAAGTACCCTCCGGTAAAACGTTCCATTTATTAATATCTACGCGAGATTTGCGTCTTATTACCGACAACCACGCGGCTGTCGACAATCCCGTTTTGGAGGAAGCATACTGGAAGTGAAGTCCTCAGTTTCACTCGTTTACGTGATGATCACACAATAATCTGGCGGCATTCGTGACGTTTATGTTCGATATCATTTTATACGTCATTTCTATGTACAATGAAATATGCCTCTCTCAAATATTTGACGTCATAGTCAACGAACTATATGCAGAAAGATCGGTTGTTATTTAGTTTACATCATGCAATACCATGATAGTTTATAACGCCATATTTGTTTAAGTTATTATATAGATATAAAACGTCAACACCCAGAGTTGTAGCTGACTCAACATTATTGATAAATGCTTCTGAGCTTATAGCTCAGAAGCGGTAAAAGATAACGGTAAAAGCCGAGGTGACCGGAATGCACCGATAGCTTCAAGTACCACATGACATACTAATAATATCACGATTCGTCGTCAGCCACCTGCTGTGTGTCCAGCGGATGAACAATTGGTTTTTAGGTTAATACTAGAATTCCTCCACAAATTGACATTTTATAGACAAGAGAGGCATCATTTATTGATTTATTGAGTTATAAAAGGAAACCAAATCAAGATAATCTTATTTTCACAAAAGTGTTACTATCGAGTCTTTGTATTCTATCGGTGTTCCACGAGCATAAATGCAACTAATGTACAAAGACATGTGACGTTAAGTTATAGTGGTCTACTGAATTTCGTGAGCTATGGTAAATATCTTTTGTAAGTGTAAATTGTTTACTCGAAAATGTTTACATGTTTGATTTTACACAATTACGCATTCATTTACCGTATTAAAATAAATATTTTTTAACAATGGAATGTATGTATTGTTTATAGTGATGATTGTAAATAATATGCATGGAACTAAAAACATATCCGTCCAGATCAATGTTGATAAATTATGAACTGAAATACAATCAAATATGAAAATATGCATGCAAAGTACGACTTTAATGTAAGTACCAGTTTCAACAACTGCATGTTTTGGACTTGTAACAACACTAAGGCTGTACGTATGTCTAAAAAGATGTTTTAAGACCTCTTCAGTATGCATTCGTGAACATGTTATTATGAGCAAGTCTTTCGTGCAAGCTGATTTCTTTTTCCCACTAACAATAAGTCGAGAAACGTACGACAAAATGTTGACCGAGGTTTGACCTCTTATAGTCATTGCCCAAGATTGTCATAACTTACACGTGCATTCAGCTGTTAATTTCCTTTCAATAACAATTTCGTGTTGTCTTATAAAAAAATGCTGCATAAAGCTGCAAAAGTTTACAACGGTTGCTTTTGTGCACTACACCAGTTGACGAACATGTGACTAACATAGTTAAAAAATATTGCATTTGTATTGAGTGTTTCATGAATAACAAAATCAACATTTATCATTATCTCCAATACATTTCTCCTTTTGAGAGTGTAGGTGTCCCTTTGTGTGTAAACAACCGTAAATACGAAGAAGGCCTCGCGATTTTGTCACTTGTGCCTAAGCCATTTGATTTGTCGCAATAAATATATTTAAATCAAAAACTGTAAATAACAATAATCTCCCTGAATGAGAGGTTTCCTGACAAATGGGGTTGTGTTTATTTAACTGCAATGTGCAAGAGTGACAAAAGTCACGATTGTTTTGTGGTAGCATTGTGCGTCGTGAAAAATATTCAAGACAACACGTCGGTCTGTTGCAAAGTATTATTACTTGTTCTTCTGTTTGCCATAACTTTGTTTACATGTTCTTGAATGATCTGTTATATGTTTTCCTGGTTCATGGATTCGTCGACCATGTTGGATATGGATATTTTATACTTCAACAAATGAAAACAAAATTCAGATTGTTTTCAAACGTATAACAGTAAATTGTATTTTTATCTGTCAATATTATCATGCATAAGGTACACTACTTTGTCATTAGCATTGACATATTTGTTTACAATAAAGTTGGTTACATGTTCCTTGAATGATCTTTTTGATGTTTTCCTAGTTTACGAATTCGCTGAATATTTTTGATAGAAATATTTAGTACTTTAAATTTGATAAAAATAACCATAGATTGTTTCAAACGTGTAACTGTATATTGGAGTTTTTCTTGCATGTATTTTTATCATCATACATGAGGTACACTTATTCAGTTTGCGGTAATATACAAGATGTCATTACATGTACTAGTGCCACTTTTGATTGGCTAATCAAGCAATGGTTTTTGCGTTTTTGTCTCCATAAATCGAAAAAATAGGCCACGCCCGTTAACAAACAACTGTGTCCTGTTTGGCGGGGCGTAATAGCGCCGAACGATGCCACTAATTTGGTACTGTTGTCAACAGTGTGTGTGTGTGTGTGTGAGTGAGTGAGTGAGTGAGTGAGTGAGTGAGTGAGTGAGTGAGTGTGTGTGTGTGTGTGTGTGTGTGTGTGTGTGTGTGTGTGTTAATCATTGAATAAGCAGTCTGTAAAGTTATGATTGCTGGCGTATTTATTTATAAGAATTGACTGAAATATGTTTTTTGCATTTACGGAGGTTTAAACGTAGAAACCCATGTGCTACGCGGATTTACGCAGCATGAATACCAGTTTTTTACGTAAATACTTTTACGCTAAAAGGTTTTGAACACAGTTCTTAATAAAGGTGCCAGTGTTTCCATGTATGTGATAATGAACTAAATATTATTGCTTATTCCAGTGTCAGTTTTGTCATGTATGCGGTATTATATTAGTTTAATAGGTATTGTTGCATATACCAGTGCTACTTGTACCATGTATGTGATAATTTTCAAGATCCATTTGTCCAGACCAGTGACAAAATTATCGTATAAACGGTATTATCCTATTTGCACAGGTCAGTTTCAGTATTACGTCCCTGAAGACATTCTAAGTGGCATTAAGACGTTGAAAATAACTGCGGTTGAAATATATATATCAGCTTGTTTACTGCTGGATTAAAGGCAAACATATAAAGCCTCTTCAATATGTATCACTCACGTTTATGGTCTCTTCATGCATATTCATTACTATACCGGATGTTACGTCATTCGTAACTTCCGGCACAGAAACCCATTTGAACTATGTAAAGTGACTGTAATAAGACAGGTCCAAAATGCATTATCCGATTATCGCATGTTTTACAGACGAATATTGTTTAAATGACAAAGGTTCATGATGTCTTGCTCGTTGTAAACACACTTGTGCAGGGTTAGTCAAAGAATTGCATGCTGGTGGAATTCTTTTAAGTTTGAATATAGGTGAGGTGAAATGGAGTTTGCCGTCACGTTCAAGATTATTGCACTTATATAGCGATGTGCATGCACGTGTGTGTCTGTGTGTGTGGCTGCTTGTACTAGTCCTGACTGATGCTGATTTATAGTGCTAGCTCACTGGGACACCATGCCGCAGTTTAACATGAATACCCCACTCAGACACAGTATACTGACTCCGAGCCGACCAGTCCTTGTTTTAGTCCCTTAATGCCGAGCGCCAGACAGGGTAACATTTTTAAACGTCTTTTGGTATGACGCGAACCTCGAACCTTCCGCTCTCCGGGCGGACGCTCTACCACTAGACCACGGAGGCGGTCGAAGTTTGAGTATAACCTACATTGAAGGAAATCATATGTTTATTTGTTCCCCTTGTAAGATTGTATATACACGGATGTAGATGTCAGCCGCAAAGGTGATGCCAGTATTACTGCATTGTTATTATTATTATTGTTGTTGTTGTTGATGTAGCGTGTCGTGTTTTATTCATACCATCTGTCAGCATTTCGAAATAAATTATATCTGATATTTATGTGTTCTTCCACGATAACATCATCAGTCAGGATAGTTGGATGGAATATATAGTCAAGATGATATGTAGCGGCCATAAAGGTTCCGAGTCCCGTGATGGGATTCGAACCACGGACCTTCTGACCAGAGGTCGGACGCCTTGTCCACATGAACAAAGAGGTTAACCCCGTCAGCAAGCTGACAAGGTAAGGATGTCATCTGTGGGATGACTCCACGTCCTGCTACAGATATACCTTGGTATAATTTGTATTTCTCGGTTCATTGAACCATTAAGCAGGTTTTGTGATCAATTGATATATTCTTTATATTATCAAATGTGATATGCTAGAACAAACACAATAATCCAACCTGCAAGAACATATGTCAAGTAATAACCAAAACACCATTCTTAATCAACATATCCTCGTGTTCACATTTTACCGTAAAATTCCACAAGGGCATAAAATTCAGCAATAAGATTTGTATAATTTAATTTAACTTTAATGTTATGTAGACATTTTCCATCGATAATTGATCCTATGCCCAATCTCATTAAAATCAGGTCAAGGTTCTCGCTGCCGCTAAACAAAGATCTAAGGACATCCTTTTACGGGTCACGCCAGAACGACCTTTCGCGAACTTTGACCGACTACTGAAATGACTAACAAGAAGTCGACATCAGCCAATTAGAAGGCAGCTTTCTCGAGCTTCACGTATCAACCTGGCGACTTCCATTACAGACTACGCTTGAAAAATATGTTTACACATTTCTTGATTGAGATTTTGAAACCTGAATGAACGAACATTATGGAATGTCTAATATATGGTTGAGATTGTATGGCAGTGCTTCCCACGTACTGTGCAACGCCTCCTCCGTTCAAATGTTTATCCCGCGGAAGCGAGAGATTGACGAAATTTTTAACGGAATCAGTCGTAGGGTTCGTAACTGTCGTTCGGAATACCCCGTGTTAACGTCTTCGAGGTTGCATGATCAGAAAACACATTCCGACTGTCACTTTCACGATCTGGTAAGCGACGCTTTGATTGGTCGGATGAAAGGTTGCTCTGACGTGACCCGTAATGGGATGTCCTCAGATCTTTGTTTAGCGATAGCGGGAACTAAGATCTGATTTTAATGAGATTGTCCTTTGCCTTGATTTGACACTGACGAATAGACAGTGAGAAAAATATTAGTTTTTGCATTTTTGAAAACAAATCTATGAACGTTGCATTAGCATACTACTGGAAAAAAAAACTGTACATGTTGCTGTTGCTGTCATGAGAAGGTATGCTTAACTTTGAAGATGAAAAAGGATGTTATAGAACACTTGATGTCAGACACACTAACTGCCTCCTCGAACGCCACCCCTTACGATATTTAACTATGTCATTCAAAAGCAAACTGCACAGTTTGCCCATGCAGCATGCATCCATCAAAACCTGTATAAACATACGTCAGGCATTGCGGTCCGTGGGACACTCAACAGGTAACAGTTGTACGTGTTTGTTATTGCATTGTCCTATCCCGTACTATGCCCAGATTGACGTCGGCTCAACGCAGTGATGCTATTGACCGTCTAGAGGCAGGGATGTCCTTGGGTGATGTCGCAAGGCATATGGACGTGTCCAGGTTGACCATCAAGAACTTCTGGGCACGACTAAGATCAACCGGAAGCCTGCAGGATAGACAAGGAATAGCGACACCTGCTCAAGACCATTACGTCCATGTACAACATTGACGGATAGGTTCAGGACAGCAACAGAGACAGCACAGCAGAATCTACTTAATGCACCTTAATGTGCCGTCCCTTAATGTACATGGTAGCATTTTTCAACAAAACCATGCGCGACCGCACCTCGCCCATGGTTGCCAAGACTTTTTTCCGTGCACGTCAGAATTCTTCGGTGGCCTGCAGGGTTTACCATACCTTTCACCAAGCGGACATTTTTAGAATGATTTGGATCATCGTGTCCGTCAAAGAACGCCGCCTCCTCAAACGTTGCGCGCAGCATCTTCTTCTCGCGCTGCAGGGAGAAAGAAGCAGCATTCCCTAATAAATTCTCCAGAGATTCAATTCATCAATGCCAGTCCGTTAAGCAAATGGGGGCCACTCACGTTATTGAACTTGTTTGCCAATTGTGTACTTTTCGTTGTGTGTATGTTTTGTTTCAGGACGACATGACCTGTTTCATTTGCGTCACTGTACTCAATGCATTTTTTAAAAGTTTCAATTTCTTGTTTTCCTCGCTTTTCAAACTTTTAACAGTATTTGTCAATCAATATAAACAGATATTCTGAGCTTGGCACTCATCCATCATCACATTCCTTGCAGCACGAAAAATCCGCCAAAGTGACATTTAAGAACAGTTATATCCACACTTACAAATGTCGAAGTCTGCAAGCATTCAAGGTGTTATAACAGCACAAGAAGTAAGCAGAACTTTCGGAAAGTCAGACCTTTTCTTCAGCCACATTATAAGAAAAATCGATGATAATTGAAGGTGATATGCATGTTTTTTGAGATTCTGAAGGCAAACTATCACGTTCACGTGTTCCAAAAGTCTGGTCGTAATGTGTGTGATAGGAGTTGGAAATGTCAGTACGTTTCAAGGATGTGAGGCTAGGATGAAAGCAGCAGATGTAACAGGTGATGAAGAGATGCTGCACGGTTACGTGCTGTTGACAATGATTGAGTGGCATCAGACGCAAACGTATCACACGTTTTCCTTATCATCTTCAGTGGGCCAGTGGGTATAGGGCCACTGGGGACATCCTTTGAATTAACAGCTAGCTTTGAGCTATATTGATTTGCAGGAATTAGTGAGTGAGTTGGGTTTACGGCAGCTTTTGACAGTATTACAGTTATATCACGGCGTGTCAGCTTAATGTGGGAGGCGAGCCCGAAGCGATGCAGGTCTCAATCGTTTACCACTTCGGTGAAACCAACGAGCACGGGTATGGTGCTGACAAACCTAGAAACATAATCGGGGCGAACCGGGATTCGAACCCACAATCATAGGTTTCTGGCATGCCCAAGGGACGCAACTCTGCACAGCGAATCGCGACGCCTTAAACGACAAGGCCACCCATGCCCCCTTATTTGCAGGAAAGGCATTTGCTATGTCGGTGATATTGTCAAAGTATAAAACTAAATAAGACCCATGAAGGCCGGGGTAGAATTGATCTCCAGCAACCCATGCTTGTCGTAAGAGGCGACAAACGCAATCGAGTGGTCAGGCTCGCTCGCTGACTTGGTTGATGCATATCATTTGTTTTCTTAATTGCGTAGATCGATGCTCAATGATGTCAATCACTGGATATTGTCTGGTCCAGATTCGATAAATTACAGACCGCTGAGTATTGCTGACGACAGCGTTAAACAACCTATCAAAAACATACAAACAAATCTTTGTAAATATAAAACGTCTATACAAGACATAAAACATGGCGTGACAGCAGACGAGTTATACAAAACAAAGTTCTCCAGAAACAATTGGACATTTTATTTTACAAGACATATCGCCGTCCTTAGCCAGACACTGCTGTCTCACACTGTCAAACGACTGAAGCAGAAATACGTCAATGCCAATGCATCTATCCAACCATCTTGAATTGAGAAACACTATAGCTAAGTGTATTCATAATTAATCTGATGTTCTTAGGGTTAATTACTGTTGTTTTACATCAACAATGCCACAAACTTCTTTTTATAATTCTTGTATAACAATCTAATCCTCACCACAACTTGTATGTTGTAACCAGCGAAGTTCAATAAGAAAGTAACAAAATAAATGCCATCGTTTGTGGAAATGTTGGTACATACGAGGGCTGGCTGAAAAGTTCTAAGCCTAAGTGGGATATCTCAATCGGATTGAAACAAACTTTTGCCACCAACAAGTACAATCATTTAATGAATCATAGACATAAGAACTGCAACTAGAGTGATATTATTGTCTTTGTACCAGACCATATTGTGAACATACGCATTGAAATCACCAGAAATGGACAAAACTGGCTATAGGGCAGTCATCAAGTACCTGCAACTGAAAGGGCTAACTCCAACACAGATACATGCTGACATGGTCTCCACTTTAGGGGATGATGACCCTTCCTTTTCCACTGTAAAGAAGTGGGCTGCGGAATTCAAGCGTGGCAGAGAGAGCCTTGACGATAACCCGCGTCCAGGAAGGCCTTCAACAGCAACCATTCCGGAAAACATTACCCGGGTCCGGGTGCATGACATGGTGATGGCTGATCGACGATTGATCACTCGACATATTGCCAGTGTAGTGGGCATCTCTCATGAGAGGGTTGAGCACATTATCACCAACGAGTTGGGAATGACAAAAGTTTCTGCAAGATGGGTGCCAAAGCTCTTGACAGGGATCAGAAACGTGTCAGATTCCTCACGTCCCGTGACAATTTATGTCGTTTTGAAGCAGATCCCAATGATTTTTTTGGCCCGATCTGTAACCATGGACGAGACCTGGATTCATCGCTTTCAACCAGAAACCAAAATTCAGTCTAAACAATGGCAGCATCCGGAATCAATATTCCAGCTATATGACGGCGGTCTGTAAATAATCCAGTGATTGACATCATGAGCATCTATCCATGCAATTGGGATACTATGACATGTACCAACCAAGTCAGCGAGCCTGACCACCCGATCCCGTTAGTCGCCTCTTACGACAAGCAATGTCTCCTTTTACGGCAAGCATGGGTTGCTGAAGACCTATTCATCCCCGGATCTTCACGGGTCGCCTGTTATGTAGTTAGTGTTAAACAAAGATATACTTGGCCTGGTCTTGCAAAGTCTGATGAACTGATGAATCGTTTTAGGTTTATTCTGATTTAAAACATGGCGCCGTCGTTAATATTGTCTTCAAGATTAAAGAATTTCGTTATTGAAGAATGTCTTTTTATCTATATTCCAACAAACGTCACATTTGTTTGTTTGGAAATCATTCGCTTGAAGGTCAAATTTCACGAGATATTTACAGTAAGCATTCTGATACGATGTTCGGCGACGATTGGTCTTCAGCCTGTGACACCGGACGCTGTACTGTAATTGGGCCTCTGACAAGAATTGTCTTTGTTGTGAAATGAGGCAAATCTAAAATGTCTCCTCAAAAAGTCTTTTGGCTCTTCAGAACATTTCCAACCTGACAATGTAGTTCTGACTGCTTGTTGGAGTTGTGGAACTATTCCTATTTGCTTCCAGCCGTGCCACTGTTTGAGGACAGTCATTCTAATATACGTTTTTGTAATGTAGTAACACTTTATATGGGCCAATTGGTCAGCGACCTTGCCCCCGTATGTCGCATGGAGGACACGAGATGATCAACCGCCAGTCGTTGTTATCTGACTGAACAGAATATGACTACTTCTTAGACACTGACGTTTAAATGAACCGGAAATAACATGGTTACGCGAATGCCATGGTAAATTCATAACGTCAACGCCAGGGAATAACCAGTCTCGATTATCAAAATAGTGATAAAATATAGATGAATGGATAACAGAAAATCATTGATGACCAAAGGTGAGTAAGGAGGTCTGACATCTTCATATAAAGGTCATGACATGGGATAGCATCGCGCATCATGTTGACAAGCTCCGAAGGGATTTCCTTTCTTGGGTTCAAACGGGTTCCCGGTGTTTGAAGTGCATCTTCTCAGTCGGGGCACAATGACACACCATCAGGCAGCCCACACATTGTAAACCACCCGTCCCTCTCAGTCGGGGCACAATGACACACCATCAGACAGACCACACATTGTAATCCATCCCATCCTCTCAGTCGGGGCACAATGACACACCATCAGGCAGGCCACACATTGTAAACCATCCCACCCTCTCAGTCGGGGCACAATGACACACCATCAGGCAGGCCACACATTGTAAACCATCCCACCCTCTCAGTCGGGGCACAATGACACACCATCAAGCAGGCCACACATTGTAAGCCATCCGACCCTCTCAGTCGGGGCACAATGACACACCATCAGGCAGGCCACACATTGTAAACCACCCGACCTTCTCAGTCGGGGCACAATGACACACCATCAGGCAGGCCACACATTGTAAACCACCCGACCCTCTCAGTCGGGGCACAATGACACACCATCAGGCAGGCCACACATTGTAAACCACCCGACCTTCTCAGTCGGGGCACAATGACACACTATCAGGCAGCCCACACATTGTAAATCACCCGACCTTCTCAGTCGGGGAATAATGACACACCGTCAGACAGGCCACACATTGTAAACCACCCGACCCTCTCAGTCGGGGCACAATGACACACCATCAGGCAGCCCACACATTGTAAACCACCCGACCCTCTCAGTCGGGGCACAATGACACACCATCAGGCAGGCCACACATTGTAAACCACCCGACCCTCTCAGTCGGGGCACAATGACACACCATCAGGCAGGCCACACATTGTAAACCATCCCATCCTCTCAGTCGGGGCACAATGACACACCATCAGGCAGGCCACACATTGTAAACCATCCGACCCTCTCAGTCGGGGCACAATGACACACCATCAGGCAGGCCACACATTGTAAACCACCCGACCCTCTCAGTCGGGGCACAATGACACACCATCAGGCAGGCCACACATTGTAAACCACCCGACCCTCTCAGTCGGGGCACAATGACACACCATCAGGCAGGCCACACATTGTAAACCACCCGACCTTCTCAGTCGGGGCACAATGACACACTATCAGGCAGCCCACACATTGTAAATCACCCGACCTTCTCAGTCGGGGAATAATGACACACCGTCAGACAGGCCACACATTGTAAACCACCCGACCTTCTCAGTCGGGGCACAATGACACACCATCAGGCAGCCCACACATTGTAAACCACCCCATCCTCTCAGTCGGGGCACAATGACACACCATCAGGCAGGCCACACATTGTAAACCACCCGACCCTCTCAGTCGGGGCACAATGACACACCATCAAGCAGGCCACACATTGTAAGCCATCCCATCCTCTCAGTCGGGGCACAATGACACACCATCAGAGAGACCGCTTAATGTAAACCACCCCATCCTCTCTGGAGCTCTTTTCTGGAATGGACATACGCCTTTCTTTTCATGCACATTATTTCAACATTGATTCTGTGCTGGGACATCAGATGTTATTCCAAATTCAGATGAATACTGCTTTTAACACTGGAAACGTTTTATCGTAGCTTCAAGAACAACTTCACTGACATTGTTCTTGCTCATTATCTCACACCTCCCATGCATGGACAATACTTAGTGATGTCTAATTAATCACACCAAGTAGTAAACTGTAAACCGGCCATTGACCGATAAATTAAGGAAGTGAAAGTTGTTTAACGCCACAGTCAGAAATATTTACGGGATCTGTGTGTTGGTCTAATATGAGGTAATACGTTGTGTTTGCGTGTTGGTCTTACAAGTGGGTGTGGATAACTAAGCGGTAAATGCGTTATTTGTGTCTTGGACTAATTAATGGTAAATATATCGTGTTTGCGTGATGGACAAATAAATGGTCAATGCGTTGCTTGCGTGTTCGTCTCATAAGTGGAAAATGTTTCGTGTTTGCGTATTCGTCAAATCAGGGCTCAATATGTTGTTTGCGAGTTTTACTAAAAAATGGTAAATATGTTAAATATGTTCGCCAAATACTGATGCATGTGTATTTTCGTGTTGTAAATGTGGTAAATGTTTGAGTTTGCGTGTGGATTTACGAAGACGTGAATGCGCTTGCGTGCTTGTCGATCAGATGAAGGGAACTACTATGTGTTATCGTGGCACTCACACCAAGAAGGAAAGAATAAGAGAGACATGGTTGCGTTTGCCAAACGCTTTTATTTCACTCAACAGTTTTTTACATCACAGAAAGTTACAAATATACAGCTTAAGTGATAACTGATGTTTTAAGCGAGACATTGATGTTAATCGTCTAATGAGTGTGGTCTGGGGGGACACATTTCAGCATAAGGAGGTGGATCTATAGCGACGTGACTGTCGGCATTGTCTGAAACTGAATGTTAAGCAGGATACATAATTTCGAAACAAAAAGACCTGATTTAGGACCAGCCACATAAAAAGCATATCTGATGAGATCTTTTTAGATTCAGAAGATGGACAGGCGCAGCATATGACAAGTTAAACAACTTGAACAACAAGCCGAGCTCATTGCACAACAAAGTTGTCAATGAGCACATCCTGTTGTGCAGGGAACAACTTGGTGACAAGTCGAGCACAACTAGCTGTGCAAAGGGACCAAGTATGTTCTTGGGCACATCAACCTTACGATACCAATACGTTAGCAGCTATCTGCTAAATAACATTTCCGGGCATGGTGATTGTACATAGAAGCGGTAGATGTGTTCACGAAAGTCAAATGAGCGTTTAGCGTATCGCAATTCGTGTAAAATATACCAGGAAAAGTGGTGCGCTAGCTTCGCAAATATTTAGCACAGAAAATGCCGTAGAGGAGGACTTTGACACAGGAGAGTCTATGAACACAGGGCTATGTGTGGGTAATGTAAGCAGAGAAAAAAAGCACCTCGTGTGCTATTATCAGCAGTCAGGGGGTAAGGGTAGAGAAGGGTGGGGCGGGTAGAGGGGGTGGGGCAGGGTGGGACAGGGTGGGACAGGTAAGCTGAACTAATACACTACTGGAACTAATTCAAGCGCTTGGGTCACGACAAAATACCTTAGAAAACATAAATATATATACCTGACGTGGATGGCAAATAGTTTATAATCAATGCGGTAAAGTTTCAGAGGATAATAGCCTAAAATAGTAAAATATGTATCTAGGCAGTGTTTCGGAATGAATGTATATTCGGAGGACACCACGATGTGCAAGTTAGTTCACAATATAACACCGCGACATACAATGACTATTTATAGAACACAGCCAGGTGAGCTAAAAACAACATAAATAGCTAGCCTCGCAGCTTATTGCCTCAACAGTGAGTGTGCAACGCGCAACACAGTGACACCGTCGTAAACTCCACACTCTGCCAAATGTTTACAGTGTGCAGTTTTGTTTTAAAAATAATACTTTGTGTAAATAATTTCGATATGCACACTCTCTCTCATTCCTCCCTTTCAATTTTCGTTCGTGCACTTTCGGTTCTTTTCGCCGCATTCGGACGTTTTCGTTACCATCGTATCACTTGTGACTTTCCGGAATGCAATGAACGGAAACAGACGAGTAGTGGTGAATAGTGTATTTCAGATTTGTTCGTAGGCCGCGGAAAGAACCGGAGTTGACGACCATGACATAGTATCTCCTTGCGGTATGAATGGCTGCATAATATTGTGTGAAATTTGATTCTGTAACAGGAAAATAATGTAATAATATGTTATATATTGTTTGTACATTTCAGTGCAATAGTCATAAACAAAAGATACGGTATTACACTGAAGTTATCACATGTGATAAAATTATAACGATAACAATTGCAGAAACCGAGTCAGAGCTTTTATCAGGAATTATTACATCCAGTTTCTAACAAAAATAGTATATTTGTATAGTTCTCCCGAAAAATAAACAAAAATGGAAATGGTGAAAGATGTTGATTGATGAATTTCCATCAATATGAGAAATTAGAGATAAGATTCCTTTAAGGAATGGCAAAATATATTTTTTAATCACCATTGCATTCGTATTTCAGAACGTTTTTGAAAAAAGACTGCCACTTTAGATAATTCTCTTCGTTGACACTTCCGTATGGTCTCTTAAAACGGTATCATAAATATCAAATTTTTCAAGTATACCATTTCAACAATTTTGACAATTAATCACCCAAATTTGAAGGATTGTTCAACATACGATATTACTTTTAATAAAAATTGAACAAATTTTGTAATTCGATAATATTTTATTTCCTTGCTGTAAGGCTTCCGAAACGCAGTACCTGCCCTTAGCATCAAGACATTGGCTGTGACGGTAAACATCAAAGCAAGATTGCTGTCAGCCATGATGTCCAATACAATGGGGGGTAACTCTGCGTTTACTTCCGGAAAGCAATGCCACTAGCATGCTGTCTCTTGACCTTGTACAGCTTCTGATGTTTGGCCTTGTTGACAGGCTGGTCCCTGTAGGGCTGTTCCTTGGATCCGTGCAGGACCAGTGTCCATTCCTTGAAGACTCCATCCTCGTGGTTGTTCTTCAAGCCGATGATTGGTTCCAGGATAACATCGAGGGTCCAGCGGCCATGGGGCATCTCGGCCCAGGTGTGGGTTGTCATGAAGGGCCAGCGAGTGAATCCGTTCTTGCTGTCATCGTCGTTGGGTCGCTGGCTCAAGATCATCGATCTGTTGACCGAGAAGGATAAAATTCCAATAGTGAGAGAGTGAGTTGGGTTTAACGCCGCTTTCAACAGTATTCAAGATATATCTCGGCGTGTCAGCTTAACGTGGGAGGAAAGACCGAAGTGATGCAGGTCTCAGACGTTTACTACTTCTGTGAAACCCACGAGCACGGGTATGGTGCTGACAAACCTAGAAACATAATCGGGGCGAACCGGGATTCGAACCCACAATCATAGGTTCCTGGCGTGCCCAAGGGACGCAACTCTGCACAGCGAATCCCGGTGCCTTAGACGACTCGGCCACCCGTGCCCCCTCCAATAGTGAATACTGAGCCACAAGGCTCTGTAGCTTACCTGAGGCATGTGTGCATACTCATAACGTTTTCAGTCCGGAAGCCATGTTTAAGATTGGATCGGAATTCGGTGACGTATTTGTGGGATCGTATCCCAAAAAATTCAGCGATTTCCGAGGAATTGTGGACAATACAGTATTTCTTGATGAACGACGGAATGTGAATGTGAAATACCACAGGAGAGTAAGAACTTGCAATAGCCCAGTTGGGTATTATATATTATGTACATATAGTGTGTCGCTGTTTTATGTACTGTATGCAGCCACTGAAATCAACTTGATAACTTGATTATATTTCTGTAACTACTTGTCTGTGCACACTTACGTGGTGTTCATGGGAGAGGTGAGGTAGATAGTGACAGTTCCTCGGAACGTTGCTCGCAAAGTGACGAACGACTGCACATGCTCCAAGTAGTTGACTTCGCTGTCACTTCCGGCACAACCGTCGGTGTCAATGGTGATGCGGATGGGCTTGTTCATATCGAAATACCTGCAAAGGATATACATTTTTTGTAGAAGTTATCAAATATTGCTTGTGTGTATGACAAAAGATGATCATGCTAACTGTACCACCCTATACTGAAGAAATGAAATCAACAAACACAAATATGCTTGAGTATCGTGTCAATGGCGGCTTCTAACGAGGTCAAGGTCACCATCAGAATAAGAACAGGTAACCATGATCAACACATCGCCTCTAAGATTAATACAGAGTGTTATTGTCCACAACTTGTCAGGCACAAGTCGTGCACACTTTTAAGGCCTTTTTGTATGATTTACATCGAAAACGTTCAGTTCGAGTGATCTGATTGTGCAATCGTGTTCATTCACAAACACTTTCGGAAACACTATCACAAAATATACTTTGAAGGGGATACTGATGGCACAGTCTAGATATCGTTCCAAATATTCTGAACTGGCTTCATTTCGCCAGGCTGATTGTTTCACATTAAATAAAACTGAATTTCTAAAGTTATTGTGTGCATATCACGCTCGTGAACGTCGTCGATCTATCTGTGCAAAACAACACATGGTTATAGTTCGATTATATAATATATGTAATTGTTAAGATATAACTTAGAATGCATAGCGATATTGGAGTGTGTGAAGTGCTTGTTTTGTTGAATAAAGTGTGACCCGTGAAGATTCCGGGGTAGAATAGATCTTCAGCCACCCATACTTGCCATAAAAGGCGACTATGCTTGTCGTAAAAGGCGACTAACGGGATCGAGTGGTCAGATTCGCTGACTTGGTTGATACATGTCATCGATCCCAATTGCGTGGATCGATGCTCATGATGTCAATCACTGGATTGTCTGGTCCAGACTCGATTATTTTACAGACCGCCGTCATATAGCTGGAATATTGCTGAGTGCGGCGTTAAACATCAAACAAACAAACAAACAAAGAAAAAATGTAAATTTCAACTATCTCTCGTGATTTTTTTATGACAGAAAAAAAGGTTCCATGATGAACGTTCATCTTAGACCTCAGAGAGGTCACGGTGTACAAATTGAATCAAAGCGAAGGGTCAGCCTCGTTCGACACACGTGTGACGAATAGATTTAGCATGTCACACCTGCCTCGTCACCTCGTGGGTACAGCACTACAGGGACTCACTTCTCGGAGCTGTGGGAGCCGGCGGTGCAGTGGAAGCGTTCAGGGAGCCCCTTCCAGGTGCGAGCGAGATCCACCATGGCGGCGGCGTCAAGCACGCCGTAGCCGAACAAGTGGTTGAACTCCAGTCCGGCGCCGTTGTACTTCCATTCGTGGACTCCATTTGAATCGTAGAGGGAGTTCCGCTTGGAGGTGAGCACAGTCAGATGTTGAATGTCCCGCCACGTCAGATTCTGACTGTAGAACAAGGATGTGAAAGCTTATCATCAAGGGGAATAAGTATCCGTTTGCAACCCTCAGGAGTATTCTAACATGTTGTCGACTAGGGGAGTACTGTAACATATTGGCCACTGGAGTATTGTAACATATTGTCGACTAGGGGAGAACTATAATATATTGGCCACAGGAGTATTGTAACATGTTGTCGACTAGGGGAGTACTGTAATATATTGGCCACAGGAGTATTGTATCATTGTGTCGACTAGGGGAGTACTGTAACATATTGGCCACAGAAGTATTGTAACATATTGTCGACTAGGGGAGTACTGTAACATAATGGCCGCAGGAGTATTGTAACATATTATCGACTAGGGGAGTACTGTAACATAATGGCCACAAGAGTATTCTAACATATTATCGACTAGGGGAGTACTGTAACATAATGGCCACAGGAGTATTGAAACATATTGTCCACTAGGGGAGTACGGTTACATTTTGGGAACGAGAGTAGAGTACTGTAAAATATTGTCAACAAGGGGATTACTGTAATATTGGCAACAAGGGTACTATAACACATTGTCAACAAGAGGAATATTGTAACATTGTCAACAAGAGAAATACTGTAACATTGGCAACATGGGTACTATAACATATTGTCAACAAGAGGAGTACTGTATCATATTGTCAACAAGAGAAGTGTTGTATCATACTGTTAGGATAAATGAAAATTAGTTAAGTAAAATTAACATAAAAAACAGGAACAGTTAGACGAGCGGCGGTGAAATATTGTAAGGTGCCAAGCAAGGTCTTCAGCAAAACAAATGTCATGCCACTTTGATTGCAAGTGAACATTCTGCCGACCTAAGGCTCCTATCTATGGCTAAGGATTTTCTGGATCGAATTTCAACTTGCCAGGGACCTCATCTATCTGGGCGTAATGGGGTCGAGCTAACGGAGTTTGTAGCCGGAGAATGGGGAAAAGGTCAACTCACTTAGCTTCAAGGGCTAGAGCGAAAACTCCAGCAGCCTCGGGGGCAGCTGCAGACGTCCCGGAATGGCTGGCGGTGCAGTTGCCGTACAGGTCGGTGGTGGCCTGGAAGATGAAGATATGTTATTACTTGAGAGAGGGAGAGAGAGAGAGAGAGGGGGGGGGGGAGATGGAGGGAGAGAGAGAGAGAGAGAGAGAGAGGGGAGGGGGGAGTGAGAGAGAGAGAGAGAGAGAGAGAGAGAGAGAGAGAGAGAGATATTTTTTTATTCCAATATGGAGGACTGTCTTCGATGTGACAATATGTGCATTGTTGTCAACATCATCATTATAAAATTGCACCAAACCACTGCTTGGAAAGAGAATAAGTTTATTCCAAAATACGCATAATCGATTTGCCATGGACTTAAGTGACCCCTTCCCTGATTGGCGCATCGGATGGTGTATGTTAGTCAGTTCCCGGCAGGTCGTCATTGACACAATTAACTTCCGTTAATTTGTCACACCATGGCAACCGATCCACCTCCTCTGACGACCATAAGACAATAGTTCTGACTAAGAACAAATACGTTGGTTTTCAGCATGTAATTAACAGTGTGATGATTTATCACGTTTCTCGACGTCGTTGTCGCCATGATGGATTGCGCACGTGTCCATGTGACATCAACTCTCATAATTTACAGCAAAGACTCACGGAAGGATGAAAAGGGCCACCGGAGTGTAAGCCATTTCTTTCGGATTATTTTCAAAATCGGATCTAACAGTGTGAGAAGAATAATTGAGGCAAAGTTTCCAAGAACATAATCGACATATCTCATTACACGATTATTGGTTTTGAACTTAAGTGGAATTGATATAGCACGGGTTTTGAGATAACTAGCTTTTTACGCGGCATAACGTTGAGACAAGCCTACAGGAGAGAATCACTGGAGAAGCCCTATTATATATCATTACTCGTGGCATTTAACCAACCTGCCCCTTCAAACCCTCAACAACTTCACTCCCCCGTCCATTTGTGTCATATATAAATTTTATATATTTCTTCCAAAATTATATTATTTACACGTTACAATGGAATAAATATTCACAAGAAATCTATATTCCTGCTTCTTGACAATATTGGAAAAATATATATTTTCCCATAAAATATGGACATTTTGCCTTTACCGATTTTTTTTTTACCGTATTTACAACTCTCGTGTCTGAAATGACAAACAAAAATGATATTTCCGTGATTTTATCAATGAGGAAAGTTCTAAAATATAAAACGTCAACGCCAGAGAAAGATAAAATATTGGCTAATAAACGGATGGTCAATGGGGCTTATTGCCGCATGAGGTGACAGAGAGACTGTGGAAAGTGGCTACGTTGAAAGCGGTAACGATGCTAAGCAAACAATACGTCCTCTTTCAATACGAGAGAAAAGTGGAAAAAGCAGTAAAGAACGGAAATAAATCGTCAATAATTCTAGCATGTACCAGCTGTCACTAATACTAATACACTAATACACTGATTGTAACGTTTGAAGACGACAGATATTAAGCAATTTCGGGGAGCCGACCCGAGATAAACTTACGCTAAATAAGGACGGAATGACGTTACTTCCCCCTCGTATATGGCTTCCTGCACGTGAGTCGAATCATGCACAATGTTTGATGGAGTTATCCATCTTCCCGAGGCAAGAGAGTTAACTGGCTATAAAAGTCCAGTTTCCACCCTTGCCGAACTAGGCTGGTATCATGGAGTTACATTTTGGCTGGACTAACGAGTCTATACATAGTCCAATCAAAATCCGGTTCGTAAACTGTCGTGCAGATTTCGGTCGATTGCAGGATTTGCAAAACATGTGCACCGCCAATTCGTTGTCAGCAGATATTTTCCCAATCTTTTCATGTTTTTAATCAAGATGCTCACGTGATTTGATGCATTTCGCGATGTAAGACCCGTTTTATCACAATATAGATCTTGATTATCGATCAGATCGTCTTGACTGTGCGCCACCATTTTGTGCGAAGCAAACGCAAGTGATACGAGAGGTGGAAGCTGATTGGTCCTTAGGAGAGGCTTAGAGGGGACATAACTGGTAATAGCCACTGATGGCGCTACGATCGAGCCCCGTAATTCCAGCCTAGTTCGGCAAGGGTGAAAACTGGACTTTTATAGCCAGTTAACTCTCTTGCCTCGGGAAGATGGTAGTTATCGTGCCAACTAGATTCCAAGAGCACTTTTAAAATGGATATTGCACAACAATATAGATTTAGATATAATGCCTTTCGCAACCTGGCGTAATTAACTAGCCCTGTAGAACAGCTGTTCGACGACGCACGTCATGCACGTGTGATGCTTGGGGACATTACCCATAATTCCCCTGTGATAAGCTTGACAGAGTCCGAAGATCAACCATTTAGCCGCCCTCACGGCACTGAGTACAAATTAGTTTCCGGTCATCTGCACTGTGGGAGACCGGAAGAGCTCCGAACAGCGAAGGTGTAATAACTGTGTGGGATCTCCTTTGGAGTGACATTACTCTACATGATAGACAGAATGAGTAAGTGGTAGTTTCAAAGACAATCGCTGGAGTTATTATGTGACAGTGGTATGCATAATTACTAATTATTTCTGGAATCGTTATTTCCCAAATGGGGCGACACGACAAGAGGAATGGCGATGGGAGAAGTAATTGAACGGCAGCGACGCGCTGTGGGGGAGTATGATGTTAAAGAGAGATGAAACAGATCCTACAGAAATATCGGATGGCTTCATCAGTGTTGTCAGTGTGCGGTGGTTATTTTGAACATATCTCGCCTCCAGAATACCAAAAGCAAAGGACAGAGAGGGTGGTGTCCTGAGATTTCCCTTTTAACTCATAAACGGTAGAATAAATGTGATAAAAATAAATGTTTAAAAGCATATCACTTCAACTAATTTCGATTTTAGTTATTCTTGAGTTTTATTGCATTGAAAAATGTATCGCATTTGCAATCGAAATTTAAAATTAATTTAAAAAAACAACCAAAAGACAACTTTAACATTTGCCTAGCAATTTATGTTTTTTACACAAGTTGTTAAATCTCCGGTTATTTGTATTTACCATAAGACATTACGTACTCTCAAAGCGATTAAACAAGTTAAGGTGTGACTATATTTTTTACTCCAATGTGCATTGTTGTGTACACAATTAGATGAATGATGTTTCTGTAAAGCCATATAGTCCATATCACCGTAAATAACTGACATAAGTTCAATCAGTCATTGACATAAGTTCAATCAGTCATATAATGATAATCTGTTGGCAACTCTTATCACATACACCTCCGCAAATTATAACGATTCGAATGTTACATATAGTTTACTGTAAATTCCGATTTCAACATCTGTTGGCGTATCTTATGAGCTGGTAAGAATACGGATAAATCATTAAGTTTTATATGCCCATTTTCACCTCGCCAGACTTCAAAGCCTTGAGAAAAGCTAATTGATTACAGAACGGATAATAGTTTCTTCGACTGAGTGATAATGACGCAGTTCAGACAAAAGTAATTCAAATGTAATTATATGATATGCTACACACCACTCCAGCATCTCGGGACGTTGCCTTGCCGTTGCTGAAGGTGGAGGCGAGAGTGGAGGAGCAGCTCTCGTCGTAGCCGGCAGTCTGGCCATCGTTGGTGGCGGAGTTGATGGATATGGTCCACATGCTGGCGGCGTATCCATCACAGTTGCAGTCGTCATTGGGACCGCCGTCACCAGAAGCCCAGACGTAGATGTTGCCTTTTCCCTCACGACCCTATATGAGAGCATCATTATCACCATTACCGCCAACACCATCATCATCATCATCATCATCATCATCATCATCGTCATCGTCGTCGTCGTCATTATAATAGTCGTTGTCGTCATCTTCTCTAACGTCATATTGAACCAAGTACCAAATGCATATCACGACGTTTCACCTTAAAAGTGTACATGAATCCAACGAGCATTAAGGATTTGTGCTGTCAGAAGTTCATGAAAGTGGAAAATCTCGGTTTCGAACCACGGCAAGCAAATCACAGTAGCTAAGGGAGTAACAGTGCAATGTATTCGGTGATTTAGAGCTAACCTGGCACCTAGTAAGCCCCGCATAATGAAACAAATTATTGACGTAGAAAATGTCGAAGGGTGAAGATATTTAAATAGCCTGTCTTTCTGTATTATCAATTATGAGATAACGATTCTAAGATCACATTCATATGATTATACTATGGTACAATATATTACAATCTAACCACAGCATATTTATCAAATTCAGTGCTCACATTGTTCACTTCCAACAAGAACGTCTTAACCATAAACACATCACATACGTATATATCACAACCGTACGTCAGGACCAACTGTAATGTGCTACCGAGATAGCGGTTACTATTTTCGGGAAACTTTCAGATACGCGCACTGGGGCCGTTTCAATGTAAAACATAAATAATTCATAACCACTTTCTACAAAGATTGCAGAAAGCTTTATAACCCACTGCCAAGGCCGACTGGAGAATTCCATTTTACCAGAATAATTTTTTGTAAACCCAATATCCACGTATTATCTTTATTTGCCATATCAGGAATTCAATGGTTCACTTAGCATATTGAAAGTATTACGGAGGTTAAACGACAAGATTTAAGATAAAATCGATAGGGAAAGATAATATATAGTAAGCTGTAACTCATGCTCCAGAAAAGAACTAACCCAACCCCGGCACCTCCATCCCCAGCAGATATTACAGCGGAAATTCCTTTGGTAACAAATTCTCTGTTTGGACAATATTGCTTAGAGGGCCACAAGAACCTTTTCTTATTTCTTTTTAAAAAAAAATCCTGTAAATATGTTGTTTTTTCTTCCACTGTACATTTTATCATCTCTGTCGTATATATTTTTCACTTAACCTGTTTTTTTTCTCGGAATAATAGCCATACAGTACCTAATGTGATTTGTTACTTGTAATAACCGACGATAAATAAAATATCTTGTATCGTGTATCGTGTATCGTGTAAAGGGTTAGAGAAGTTCACATACATCTATATGTAACTGATTCTAATCTGATATACTTTGACGCAATACAGACATTGAAAACGACCTTTCATGTACCTAAAATATGTTTCTATGGACAGTAGCAGTAGAGATTGGTATTGGTAAGAAACAAATAGTCCCTAAAGCGCCTATCTAGACATCAGCAGAATAAAAGAAAGCTTCTGACACCTGACGCCATACAGTTCTCAGATTGTCGTAGACTTGATACTTGATACGTCATATCAGCCTTTGACCATCCTTTGAGCACAATAGATCTATTTCCTCCCAGACAATACCTCTGGTTTTATGGTCGTGTGTGGGTTTTTCAAATGCCAAATCACTGTGCATGCCTGCGGCACTACTTACGTTATTGACGCCATTGACGATGGCCCTCATGGTGAGGTTCCTTGGGCCATCCACCGTCTTGCCGTCGTCTGTGGGTCCCCAGCTGGCGCTGTAGATGTCAATGAGGTTAGGCATATGGCCCATAGCGTTGGCCTCTATCAGGTCGGTCATAAAGGGCTGGTCCAGCATTCTCAGACCTAGTTAGAGAGATTTGAACAATAAGAACTATGGTGAATAATGCCAAACAATTGCGAACAATGGGCAATTGTTTGAAAGTGAACAATGATCAACAATGGTGAACAGCTGCGAACAATTGAGAACAAAGTTGAATAATGGAGAGCAGCTGAATAAATAAAACAATCATGAACAATGCCCGATAATGTGAACAATTACACACAGTTCTGACCAATACCTATATTGAACAATCGTTATAATTGCTGTACAATTTGTATTTTTTGGTTTGAAGAGAATCAAGGGAATGCGAGACTTGCAACGAGTGTACCACGTGGATAATATTTTAGGTGAATTTGAGTGTGATTGCTAATATTATTTTTGCTCAAGTCACGTTTTACTACAAAACGAGTACATTTGCAACCATTGTGACGTAGGGCACATATAAAGGTTACGTGGAATGGGTTTAAATGTCAGGTTCAAGGTTATTACACATATATTGCGACATGCACATCCGTGTGTGTGTGTGTGTGTGTGTGTGTGTGTGTGTGTGTGTGTGTGTGGTTTGTGTTTGTGTGAGTGTATGTGTGTGCGTGTGTGCTATCTCTCTGATATGTCATGCCGCAGTTTCTCATGAATATCCCTCTCAGACACAGCATACTGACTCCGAGCCGAGCAGTCCTGGTACCTAATACCAGGTTACATGTGGTTAAGCTAAAGAACACATAGCAGTATAGTCGTTCTTAAGGTTTGATTTTTTGGTGAACATTACCTGCAACCTTTGACCCGTAAGCCACGCCCACTCCGCAAACTCCGTTGTCCCTGGCGGCGGATACTTCGCCAGCACATCGAGTCCCGTGACTGCAACATGAACGACATCCTCGTCACTATGCAGTACTCTTACAACACATGAAGACGGTAGTCAAGTCTTTTTTCAAACTGTCTATAATTATAATAATAATAATAATAATAATAATAATAATAATAATAATTATAATAGCGGGGGCAAAGGAACTGAGCTGATGAGCCTAACCAGCCTGACTGTGACAGGATCACCAAAACCCTCTTTGCTGCATTTTTAATTTGAATCTGTAAATAATAATAATAATAATAATAATAATAATAATGTATGTTCAAACGCGTATACCAGCAAGCAATATATGAAAGATTCAGAACTAAATAATCATTTAAGCGAAATATACATATATGTTTTGCAAATTCGTCAAGAACTACACGCTTACTGGCACACGTGCCTCCCGTGATATTGTATACCGTTCGCTTAACGTTGAAAATGATGGTAATCATTCCAGTCTTCAAACAGGCGCATACTTCGATTTTGTGCTTTTGAAATGTATTGCTATCATTTCGAAATGTACTCTAAAAATGACTCATAGAAATCAGATACTAATTTCAATTGTACGCTGACAGCAATCACATTTCCAAAAGAAAATAATACAGCTGGAATCTTCAAAGAAGATAGACTGTTATGTTTCTGTGGAACACAACAAACCCTACCGAATACACTACCACAGTAATTACCCCAATGATGAAACTATACTCCGAATGATTTGAAAGATTGTATCGAAATGACATTAGGCCTTATCAAGGACAGCGTGTATTTATCCATATTGGTTCTGAAATCCAACATCCTTTAACGGTGTAGGTGTGCGGTCGTGTCGGGTTTCAGCGGACGTAGGTATTGTGAAATCAGTTTGAGGAGATCTGTATTTCTTTTGTATATGAACTATTTCATGCGACAGTAATAACCTAACAACGTCATGGGTTTCTAAAAAAATCACTCAGCATAAGGTATTGATATCGAATCTTTGCAGTACTGACTTTCTCATTTACTGTTTATATTCCAGTGATTAAATTTACATTCTTCAGTGTGCGTATCTGATGTGCCGTGAGGATACGCTCACCTTTTCGAGAAACCTAGTATTTGATAGTGAGTCATAAAAACGTACTTTTTACAACAGTCGCAATCGTACAATGGGTTCTGCTTTAAGCAGAGATTTCTTATGATTATGGAAAGGATTTTGTCGCTTTGACTCCATTGGTATACCCCTCTGTTACAATATTAATACCATCGGGGCAATAAGTCCGTGAATATATAGTAGCACTCAAGGCAAAGAAATAGTTCCATTTAAGATATTCATGGATGAAGACAGCTCCAAATGCCAAGGTAATCTGGGCTTGGCATCTGTATTAATTACCCGCCTGTCTGCACCATGGCAGTCGGTGATAACATCTTGATCTAAAGCTGTATGGATGTCTTTCAGGCTATATGTCATGTCAACGTTTAATGTATAAACTCACCATCTATTAATATGTACGAACTCACCTGTTGAACCACGTATCTGTGTAGCGTGGGTATGGGTATGGGTCGTTACTGCTAAAATCATAACTGGCTTCGGCGTTCTGAAGAAAAAGACATGATAAATAAGTTTCCGTATGTTGCTTAACGCCGTACTCAGCAGTATTCAAGCTTTATGACGACGGCCTGTAAATAATCTGGACCAGACAATCCAGTGATTGACATTGTGAGTAACGATCCACGACGTCGGGGTACGTTGACACGCAGTCGAACACGTCACAGAGCACATATTCGCCACTGACGACCAGCATAGATTTGCGTTTACCCCGAACCCCACGAGGGCGTTATAAAATATAGGAAAATATTATAAATATATTGGCCAAAAGTGAACATGCAACCTCCATAGGTATCCGGTGTGCACATATCTGGCAACTTAAAGGGGACCCTGTTAGGTTGAACAACAGGTTTGAGTCTTTGGCCATTCGAAAGGAAAATAGATAATAATGGTATGGATTTTACTGAGGTCCTCCAGTTGATTTTCATTTTATGAAATTATTTGCGCATAATGGCTGACATTTGAAAGTCGTGGAATTTTAGTATTTTACTGTAGAAAACAATCAGGAAAAAAAGAGTGGAATGGAAGAAAGCTTAAAGAAAACGATGAGAAGAAAATACTAGTTACTTCGAGTAACACGACAACAATGTGGGTTTCATACAAAACAACGTGTGACACAGATGCGGAATAAAACAATGATGTGAATACTAGAAACTGTAGTCAAATAACTAGGTGGCGAACTGTACATGGATGACATGAAGACGCTGATCTTCAGACGAGGACATTATTGTGTTCAGGTACAGGGAGACTCTTTGACTCCTTGGAACCATGTCAAGTTATCTGTAGTCAATGACAACGTGACATCGTTATAAACGTTACATCGAGATATAGGAGTTAACGCTGTTTTAGCATTTCTGTAAGGTTGTCAGAGGACGTCGTATGAACGTGAGATCCGTTCGACCATAGACACGGCAGGTGACAACACGAACTGTTTCAAGCAGCCAAGTGGTAGGTTACTGTATGTATAGATATCCACAATTTCAAATTGTTGTTGCAAATGTTAGCCCAGATAGTATTCCTTTTAACTTCTCCAATATTATTGCAGCAAAATTCGAACTTGTTTTTCAACTCCTGTTTTACACACAGCGTTCCAGTTTACGCCTTCACTGGTTTACGATTAATCTAATTGTGCCATTCCTAGTCAAATTGCATTCATTGGCAGGTTTCAGAGTAACCCTCCTTGGTTGTTTATAGAAACGTTCCGAAGATCTATTCGTCAAACACGCTTGTGTCGGGAATAACGGATTCCGACTCATGTGGTTCAGCTGCATGCATGTGTTACATAAACGAATAGGATGTGAAAGCTTTTAACTCAAGGTTCCCACTGTAACTATTTCCATTGGTCTGCATTGTTGCACAATAATCACAGATAACAGTTATTGGTTCCTTGACATTCAGGTAACCTTTGAAATGTAAAACAAATCTCAAGAAAAAAAACCTACAGACCAACATTTGTCTTTGCGAAGCCAGCGCCAGTAACGTCAATTCCCTTTGTTCAGAGCGTCCTTTTCATCATAAATCAGCACATTGATTACGCCGTTTTTTTTTATTTCGTTTCGCTTCAGGAAACTGACATTTTGAACATCGAGAACAATACCCAATGTCTGTAAAGTGCAACAATAACGACCGATTGTAAATTGCTACCAAGAAAACATTTATCGACAAAATGTGTAAAAGGTTTTACGACAATATGCTTAGTGTTCTAATTCCTTTGAGTGATTTCATGCTGTTCGGCAGAATTGTGACTTTAGTGCACGAAGGACAATAGAACATGTTCCCATTTTAATGGTGTTAGAAACACGGACGTCAACATGGCGTTTAAGCGACAATGGTAGGCCTTGTTAGTAAGGGTAGAGAGAAGATGACTTCGGAGAAAGATGAAGCTAAATCGATTTGTCAATTTGTAACTGATTACACATTCAATCAGGTGATCTATATAAATGGAGAGACTGATGCTGAAAGTCTTAGTTGACACCTGAATCATGACAGGGTGATGTCCTGCAATAAATGTTATCAAAGCAATTAAAGGGTTAACGTTTAAAATCGATACTGGCTATCACCAACGGAGGCCATAATCAGTTGATGATACCACACATGCAATGAAGTGTTTTAATTTTATCTTTTATCTTCGGAGTGGCTGAATCCATTAGAGTAAACCGTTTTAAAGATTGTATAAAAATAATAATCCTTTAAAGGTCATTCGTTTAGCATTTTATCGTTCCGTCAAAATTCTGTCAAAACAAATTGATTTTCCAACATGACAAAGTTAAGGGAAAACATCACTCCTTGATCCATTGGGCTTTTGTTAAGGAACAGTTATACGCCCATCAACAGAGGCTCAGGTCAATGTGTCAAAAATGAAAGCCATCTAAAGTTTACTATAAACACAATATTTGAAATGCTGGACTAGATCCAACTTTGGGGGTACGACATTAAGGCAAGAAGTAGGTATCCCCATGGGCACCAATTGTGCTCACCCTTCTTGCTGATCTGTTTCTTAATGCATATGAATCGGAATTTCTGCTCGGGTTGGCATATTCAAAACAAAGTAATATAGCTTAGAAGTTCAACTTTAGCTTCGGGCCTATCGATCATCTGATATAGTTCAATATCCATCAAATAGCCAATTTCCTTCCACTGATTTACCCACCTGACCTAGATATAAATGAGACCGGTGAGGCCGCCTCATCTGTTTCGTGTTTAGTTCCTTGCATAAGAGTTAGAGTGACAAGACAGTTTGACAAGAGGGATGACAATAGTCAACTCTCCCTTTATGTCGAGTAATATTCATGCACCTCAAGCCCTTGGTGTCAACATTTCACAACTTTTGATGTAATTTTGATCAAGGTTACAACGTTCAAGACCTAGGCAAAGCTTACAAAAGGTTTTATGGTAGATATGTGGAGGATACTTCCAAAGTTGACGCATCAGTGACAAAAATTATGTCTGAAGCAATTCTATATTTTGACTTGTACCAAATATTCCCGTGTTTTTTTCGGGTGAACAGTTGATGTGCCTTCGCATGTGTTTGTGACGGGTGCCACCGGTGGGGCAGGATACGTTCACCTTTCGCGAACACCTGGTGTCATTGCTATTTGATAGTAATTCATAAATACATGTTCATGATATATCGTTAATCGATTCTGCTTTCGGCAGGATTTCTTTTGCATATGGAAAAGGTTTTGTCACTTTTATTTACATTCAAAGTTTAAGAGGTTTTCATGCTGCATCCCGGACTCCATCTGACAAATTCTGACAACTAGTCACTAAGTGAATGCTTGTAACATCATACATTGCAAAATTACACCTCTCTTCGTCTGCCTCTGAGTAATCGTAGGTACATACCCCAGCGTTATCTAATATTAGCCGGTATTTATGACATAAGGGTAGAATATAAATATTTGTACTTTTCACATTCAGAAGCCATTTCGCCCACGCTTGAGATATTAGATTCCTATTCATACGGCGCAAGTCTATAGACAATATTAATGTAGAATGTTTAACATACAATGTACTGGGCTAGAGTTAACATAAAAAGGTGTTCACTGTTTCAAAACAAATGTTCCCTTAATCGCGATCGATGCGCACTATACGCGTCTGATTCACAACGCTGACGCGAAACGTTCGCACTCAAGTCGCGATCTGGAAGCTATTGTTTTGAACTGGTCATAGTTCTGGGAACGGGAGTGAACACGGCATAAACAAAACACACAACACGTGTTAGTGAGCACAACATAAAACATGAAAACAAAACATTTTCGTATCACTGTCGCTGCACAACAATTTGTCTTACGTAGTTGTGGCGCAGGTCGGGGTGCAGATAGTCGATACCTAAATAAACACAAGTAAACATGAAGTCACTCATCCAGCACTGTATACACCTTAGCCACGTAATGGACATACAGTCAATAAATAGTCACTAACCACTGTTCAACTTTTCATTCACCCTCATACTTATTTTATTCTATGATAATAGCATTATCTATTTTAATTTTCACACAACTGTAGGCGAGATAGAAGGACCGGTCTTGAATCTCGCTCATGATGTTGTCGATGCCTACGCTAACTCCTATTATAGAATGCCATTGGAAACACAATAAGCTATTATGTTCTTTCTCATTTGCAATAATTACTTCACTTTATGGGTTCAACGAGGGTGATGGCAATTTGATAGCATAATTAGTCAAACTAGTCTGAAAAATAATTCTAATGTCACTAACACAGTTGTCTGCTGCATAGACGCATTTCCTGACATTTCTGACAAGGTTGTTTTTAGTATTTGTAAGTTCAGTCTTGAATCATAAATATTTATTGAGCCAAACAACTTTGGCTTCAACTACCGCATAATTATTTGCCCGTCATATGCAATCGTTAGCATTGTTATGTGACCGAAAATGGTTGATGACACTTAAGAACATCATCGCTCACACACACACACACACACACACACACACACACACACCAGAGACAGACACATACGCACGCACGCACGCACGCACGCACGCACGCACGCACGCACATCCATCAATCCAGCTGTGCTGCTGCAACCAACATTTATACTGGCATCCCTAAGAGAGAGTAATTGCAAACACAACTGTCTGTCACCCATTCATTGTTCAACTCTGAAACAAATTCTTTTAAATAATAATTTTGATTACGATTGTTTAAAACCCACCACCCATGCAGTTTAATTAAGATGCAATCTTATGACCTTACCATCATCCATTATAGCGGTGGTGACCCCTGTGCCGGTGTATCCCATCTCCCATGCCTCCACCACGTTCAGGTCCAGGCCGGCCACTCCGCCGCTTTGTCCCGTGTTCCTCTGAAAGAACATACAGTCAGTGTTATAATCACCCGCATTAACACTGCCTTTAAAAATAGACTATTGTGTCTTAAGAAAAGTAACTGTTATTAAATTGTTTATATTGATGTAAAAATATGAAAGACCTTAACAACAAATTCAATTTAAACCGTGTCACGTCATTCCCAAAGAATTTCCAAATATTTTCCATTTGTATACAACGCCTAATGTCACATGCTACAAGGCCTACCACTCTTGAATGATGTGCTGACCAAGAAAGCAAGGAAATATTGGTGACACCCAAACAAGTAAGAGAATGAGTTATTATATATAGCGCTATTGTCGTGCTTCAGGGTAAGTACATTTTGATTAAAAGAAAATTCGAGTCGCGACCGGAGTGGGTCTGGAGCGCGACATTGTCAAGCCTAAGTCGAGGTCGAAACGCGATTTGTTTGCGACCTGTCCGCGATCGATTGTATATTCGCTTTGAAGAGTAGTGCTACATATATATATATATACTCTTGAAAATTATCATACAGCTCATCTTTGGACTTTTGTATTTCATATATAAAATAGAAAAGTCCAAAGATGAGCTGTATAATAATTTTCAAGATATGTAGCACTACTCTTCAAAACGAATATAAAATCGATCGTGTGTATATATATATATTTATATATATATATATATGGTTATCAATTCTGCATCAAGGCAACATAACAGATGCCCTACAGAGATAACTAGGTCTTGGATGAACGCATATGCTTCTCATTCGGCGAAGCTATTACATGAAGTCGAATAAGCCTCGGGTCGCAAACCAAAGCATGCTTTCACCACCAGCTTGACGGAGGATGCACATCAAGTTTTTAAGTCTTGACAATGAATCAACTCTGACATTTCAAATGCTTTCCACGAAATGAGTTTAGAGAATCAAAAACACGTTTACGTGAACAAACCTTGGCAACCGAACTGAGTAGTAATTGTGTAATAATTTTCATGCTGTCAAATATTTGTTGAATAAAGGAAAAAGTCGTTTGTAAAAAATAGAACGCGTTACACTGCAAAGAGGCAAATGAACATTTGAATTGCAATAGCTAGTTGGTTAGCGCATCCCACACATTGTGAAATGTGGGTCTTGCGAAAACGACGGAGACATTTATATTTCATTATCTTTATATCCTTAATATCCAATAGCGATTTAAATCTATCCACATGCTACCTAGATAACAATAAGGAGATAAACATACTGTGTTTTCAATGTAGAGTTAGGTTACCTGCAGATTTAACCGCGCTAAAATGAATTTGGAACCGAACGCGCAGTGTGATGTTTCAAATGTTAAATTTAGCATGGGGTATATAACACGAGCAAGTCTTTGACCCAAGCTGATTTTCTCAGGTGATTTAGAAAAGTGCAAATATAGATTAAGAACTCTATGTTGGGTCACGGGCTAACTCATACTTCGATTTTCACTTGAACTTAAAACAATGAGCCTCTTTTACTCATTTAAGCCATACTTGTGTTTTTGTTCATGCAAAAGTCTTACCTAGCAGTAGTAAGAAAAAACAAAGAGGACTATATGTTAGTCATTTTAGCAAGTAAATTATGTTCATACAAGTATTCCACAAAGGGTCCCTTATCGTAGTTCCTCCTTTTAAACATCAAGTCAGATAATAATAATAACAGTAAGGACACCCTGCCATAAGGACCAATATGATCATGAGTGAATGAGGTTGGTTTGAACACCTTTGAACATTATTTAAGTTATCAGCGTTTCAGCTTGATGTTGGGGTGAGCGAGTATGATTTTACACCGCTTTTAGCAGTATTCCAGCAATATCACGGCGGGGGACCCCGGAAATGGGCTTCACGGATTGTACCCATGAGGGAAATCAAACCCGGGTCTTCGGCGTGACAAGCGACCGCTTTAACCACTAGGCTACCCCACCGCCTCCTTGATGTTGGGAGTGATGCATGTTTCAGACGTTTACCATTTTGGTGGTACCCACGAGCACGGGTTTGATGCTGACCCAGAAACATATTCAGGGCGAATCTGGGCTTCGAACTTCTCATCATAGGTTTCTGACACGCCCATGGTATGCAACTCTTCATTGCCAATTGCGGAGCCTCTGAAGTCTGGACCATCGGTGGCACCAGTAATCAAATGCACATTTACATATGCCCAAAGAGTTATCGCTCTGGTTAATCCGGTTGATTATATTGCTCAATTACAGTGTCTGGATTAACGGGAGTCTTTTGTATTAGTCTGAAAACTGTTGTTCATGGCCGTGCGTTAGCACATCACTGACAAGTCACAAGAAATTGACTATTTTGTTCCAAAGATTATTCTCTAAACTTGAGGAACAGAAATCGAATTTTCTCTTAGCTGATGTTTATTTATCAAAACCCGTTGGAACAACATTGTGTTGAAAATAATAGTTTGGATGTAACGCTGCATTCAGTATTTGGGGCTGTGCTAAATATTCACATGTGCCGTTTACTGTTTAGTCTTGATCTTGAATTGATTAAGTGGTTGTTATCGTTCGAGTTAGTGAGTGTGTTCTGTTTAACGCCACTTAGAAGAGTGTTTCAGTTACATCACAGCATGTATGCTTGATAGTCCTGACAAAGAATCAATCAGGGGGAACCGGGATTCGAACTAACGATCGCAGGTGCGCATTGACATGCAAGCACCCTAGACGACTGGGCCACCCATGACCTCTGTTATCGTTCGACCCCTGTATATTTCATCATATGAAGCCTGAGTACAATAACACCCTGTTAATACGGACGATTTCACTGTGAAAGATATCATCCGGGTTAAAGGGGTTCCGATGTAGTGAGGCTTCAGTTGATATAATATCCAGGGGAACAATTTCAATAACGAATATATGTAGACGTTCTGACATTAATGCCCCGGAAAGAAAGGTTTCCAGACTAACAGTTGTCCGGATTAACGAACTTTTACTTCACGCATCTTTTGCAGAGCTCTGTTGTAGCTATAGATCCATAAACATCATATTTTGATTTAAGCTTAATGTCGTAATGATGTAATAACTTTGTACGAGATTTAAACAGATAGTAAGTTTAATTGCCAGATTGAATTCCTATTGCAACACTGGCATAACAAATAAAACCGTTGCCAAGTAACCTGCTTGCAAACAAATTGCATAAAATAGATTGGGAAAATATCGACCGATACTCCAGCATATTACCTTATTCCAAAGAGTCTAAGGGAAGTACGCATAATGATTAGACTCATATATCGGTTTCGCTGCCAAACAGCTAAAATAACAAATACTTGTTAGTGAACAATGCTGCCGGAATGGTACCCGGAAACTATGTTCTGCTGTTGTGAAGAAGTAGGTTAGGTGAAAAAGGGGTCAACGTCGTGTTCAGGATTTCTTCACTCCTAGAGCGACGTGCATGCACGTGTGTGTGTGCTTGCTTGTACTTGTCTGGACTTATAGTGGTAGCCCACTGAGATACCATGCCGCAGTTTATCATGGATATCCCACTCAGACACATCACACGGATTCCGAGCCGGCCAGTCCTTGTTTTACCCCTTACTGCCGAACGTCGGGCAGAGTTACAACAAGTACCATCTTTTAACGTCTTTTGGCATGACCAGGGTCATGGGGTTCACCCATCGATCTTCCTCTCTCCGGGCAGACACTCTGTTCACTAGACCAAGGAGGCGGTTGTTGAATTAGAGGAACAGATCAGAACATTACAGAACTTTACTCTCTGACCTGTTCCTGCTCAGAATATCTCACTGAGTACATTTGTTTACGCAACAGACAGCTTCATCACATCCGTAGGCTAGTGGTTGATAGCAAAAGCATTGATTTTGCCATCAGGGTACAATGAGACACATTCAACCAGATGACATATGTGACCATCTGATTCCCTTTTCTTTTGGCAGTTAGAATTTGGACTATGCTTCCCTGGGAAGGAATGTTGTCAAATACGTTTGCAATGCTAACCACCATGGCGCCTTGGAGGTCGCATGGTCCCTTTTAAATCATACAACTGCAAATACACCCGTGAAGATCCGGGTTAGACTAGGTCTTCAGCAAACCATGCTTGCCGTAAAAGGCGACTATGCTTGTCGTAAGAGGCGACTGACGGGATCGGGTGGTCAGACTCACTGACTTGGTTGATGCAGTGCATTGTATCCCAATTACGTTGATCGATGCTCATGTTATCAATCACTGGATTGTCTAGTCCAGACTCGATTATTGACAGACCACCGTCTGTAGCTTGAATATTGCTGAGTGCAGCGTTAAACAACAAACAAACCTGCTTATACATTGTACGATTAATGTATTGAAACAATATGTATTCACTGCCCCCGTTGTGTCCATGGTAACTATCATATCCCTTTGTGTTTGACGCCTGTACGCCCCAGCACTCAGGTAATAAGCCCAGATACGTGTAGGAGTCATGTGAACGACACTATACTGCTACATTGTAACCATAGCCAGATGAGGCCGATACTTTTGAAATGGTCATAGCTATTGACATGCTGCCATACCAAATATAAGGAAAGAGCGTTGTCTTTAGTGCCAATTGAAACTTGTCATGTCTCAAGTGAATCCCCTGGTTACCAAGCAACCATTACAGAATCGACAGCAAGACGAATAAATGGTTTCCGAAGTTTTGGTATCCTGTCAGTCGTCAGCTGTTTCGCTCCTTACGAGCAAAGCTGAGTACTTCCGATTGAGCAGATTAAATACCTTGTTATCTGGGCAATCCTGGAACTCGCTGCCTCTTTCTTGCAATTAATTGCATCTTCACACGATCTCAAAGAAAGTTGAAGAATGGATTCGAACACAAAACCTTGAAAAGTGGATTTGTTAGTGGTCCACTTATTAGTAACATGTCCTACTTTCATTGCGTGCATGAATTCAACTATCTCGCAGATACAGCCTCAGCGATCTGATTCATCAATAAAGATTGTAGTTTCTTATTTTTTTATAATACGTTGCTGTTTGATAAAGTAGTACATTTTGTAAATTAAATAAATATCTGTATATATTTTTTTGTCTATGGGGACTGCTTAATAACTGCATTTTTCGATTTATTCACAATGATTTATTCGACAATATCATAATGAATAACATATTTATTCATGTTTTCTCAAGTAAAACATTTTAAAGAATAATGAGTCTCTTGTGATGCGTTTAGACTGGTATCACAGTATCAAGTGAATATTACAGGTGATCGTCTTCTGTTTAGATACAATACCAAAAGGGTATTCCGGAGTTGAATGGACCCACGGGGTGCGTGTGTGCGAGTATTTTGTTAAACGCCGCATTCAGCAATGTTTCAGCTCTGTGATGATTGTCTGTAAATAATCGAGTCTGGATCAGACAATCCAGTGACTGTCAGCATGAACATCAATCCACGCCAATGGGATGCATTAAAATGCTATCAACCAAGAATTGGGTGGTTCCAATGGTGACTTGCTATTGTTTGATTGTGAACCAATGGTGTCGATCGTACATTGTAGCTAATGAAGTGAACCATTGGTGTTCGTCCCAAGTTGATTTTTTTTAGAGACAGATATGATATAGGATGAATACTTTTCCGGCGTAAAACAACATTTATTCACTCACTCACTTATATGCATTGCTGAATTACTCACAAGTATGAACAAAAATAAACTTACCAAATACCATTCTTTGTCAAAATCTGGATCTGTGGGTAACTTTGGCTCTTTCCTTTCAAAAGCTGGGTAATTTACTATTTTGGGCTTTTGTAGCCTAAAATCCGTTAGTATAGCATCTAAAGGTTTATAACCCCTTTTCTGACGTAAATATCCGGTGAGTTGAACGGCGCTTTTTACCTAGGAAAGGAAGGAAAAGCAAAATATTAAAGCACGTGGTTTAAACGGTTTAATATTGATACATACACCTTTTGATTACCCTTTTCCACACACCGTATGTCATCACTGATTTTCAGTGATCCATTCAACGAATTTTCACCGTCACTTTGTCTTATTTTCGTCCAATGGAATCTGTTTGGGCGGATAATCGGGACTGGTTATTCTCTGTCCTTGACGTTGTATATTATACATATATCATGAGTAACACATAGCATCAGACACCTTCTTATATCAAAACAATTTCAAAATAATTGAACACACCTACAAAGTACAGTATACAACGCAATTGAGCCTGACAGATAAGAACAGTATTGCTTTGTTCTATCCCACAGAGCAATCCCGAAATATTTGACAGACTCAACAAGCATATGGAAAAAGATAATAGTCTTTCAAGAAAATCTAATAGCAACATGGGAGTGTGAGTGGAAAGAACAAGGATCGAGTGTGTGGAAAGAGTAAGTGGAAAGAACAAGAACGAGTGTGTGGAAAGAGTAAGTGGAAAGAACATGGAACCAGTATGTGGAAAGAGTAAGTTGAAAGAACAAGGATCGAGTGTGTGGAAAGAGTAAGTGGAAAGAACATGGAACGAGTGTGTGGAAAGAGTAAGTGGAAAGAACAAGGAACAAGTGTGTGGAAAGAGTAAGTGGAAAGAACAAGGAACCAGTGTGTGGAAAGAGTAAGTGGAAAGAACAAAGAACCAGTGTGTGGAAAGAGTAAGTGGAAAGAACAAAGAACCAGTGTGTGGAAAGAGTAAGTGGAAAGAACATGGAACGAGTGTGTGGAAAGAGTAAGTGGAAAGAACAAAGAACCAGTGTGTGGAAAGAGTAAGTGGAAAGAACATGGAACGAGTGTGTGATAAGTGTAAGTGGAAAGAACATGGAACCAGTGTGTGGAAAGAGTAAGTGGAAAGAACATGGAACGAGTGTGTGGAAAGAGTAAGTGGAAAGAACAAGGAACCAGTGTGTGGAAAGAGAAAGTGGAAAGAACATGGAACCAGTGTGTGGAAAGAGTAAGTGGAAAGAACAAGGAACCAGTGTGTGGAAAGAGTTAGTGGAAAGAACAAGGAACCAGTGTGTGGAAAGAGTAAGTGGAAAGAACAAGGAACCAGTGTGTGGAAAGAGTAAGTGGAAAGAACAAGGAACGAGTGTGTGGAAAGAGTAAGTGGAAAGAACAAGGAACGAGTGTGTGGAAAGAGTTAGTGGAAAGAACAAGGAACCAGTGTGTGGAAAGAGTAAGTGGAAAGAACAAGGAACGAGTGTGTGGAAAGAGTAAGTGGAAAGAACAAGGAACGAGTGTGTTGAAAGAGTAAGTGGAAAGAACATGGAACCAGTGTGTGGAAAGAGTAAGTGGAAAGAACAAGGAACCAGTGTGTGGAAAGAGTAAGTGGAAAGAACAAGGAACCAGTGTGTGGAAAGAGTAAGTGGAAAGAACAAGGAACCAGTGAGTGGAAAGAATGATCATTCCAGAATTTTCAACTTAAAAGCCAAAAAATAATTCCCATAAGATATTTCAGTACAATGTTGTCACTGTTGTCAAGAAGTTTACCTCTTCAAAACTTTCAACAACACTTAAAATATTTCCACAACTTTCCATGCTTGGAAATATCATCTCTCGAAGATTCTAAAATTAGTACGTTCCTTTGGAAGTCACATATTTCCATGAATGGAAAGTTTAGAAATAAATAGAAAGTGATTTATTAGAGTTTAGACGATGAAGGACCTAACATGAAATCCACCTGGCAGTTTTACTTACATTGGGATGGGCCTTTAAAAGTCTAGTATGTGGTACGCTTCTCCTTGATCTGGCATGGTGCACGCCCTTGTTGATGAGATGGAACTGTGTTTGTGAGTTGAGGACCTGCAACAACAAAATCGTTTGTGAAATACTTATTACTGAACACTCAATACTTACTTGAGTAATAACTGACACTTCTGAACATTTACATATCTGAGTTACTAATTTTCCCAAAAGGAACATGTCAATTCTTTAAATGTTAAACATATTGTGAAAACAGTAAATATTGAAAAACTAGTTGCATGTTTTATTAACTATGCCACCAATAACATGATTCGCATACATCACTTTCCATAAATTGGGATGTATAATATGTGTTGTAATCGTAAATCTTCCTAGCTAATAAATACGATAATTGTATTAAATAGTCCTTGTTTTATCCCCTTAATGCCTAGCGACAGGGAGGGTAACAACAGTTATCACATTTTAACGTCTTTTGGTATGGCACGGCCGGGATCGAACCAACGACCTTCAGATCTCCGAGCAGCGGTACCCACCAGACCACCAGGCTGCGTACGGAGAAAGGCCAGTTTGTATCTCCATATAGCCACGGGGTTACAGAAAGACCTGTTTGAGGAGGTTTCACTTTACATATGTAACAGATTACAGTGTTCAGCAAACGCGATACCGTCGATGTGTGCTATACTCGTCGATCACCGTAACACTACCGAATTAACAACTTGCGCAAAATTGACAATATAATTGGCAATGACCTACGATAAATTCTTCTCAACTTTTCAATATGTTCTCAGTGTGGCAACCGCGAAGGAAAGGAATGATATTTCCTTGCAAATAACCCTGTGTGCCCAAACTAGTCAGCAGTACGGATATTACGTGAAGGGGCCCACTTGATTAAGTGTGGGTGTGGGTGTGGGTGTGGGTGTGGGTGTGGGTGCGGATGCGGGTGTGGGGTTGTGTTATCTGACACTGAGAAATGGCATAAGTACATTTACTCTCATATAATACGAAATTGTAAATAAGCTAAATCAAGAATACATTGTCTGTCGTAATGAATTTTGTCAGAAAGCATTTGAATAATTGCTTTTTATTCTTTCTTGACATTTTACTTTAAATGTTAAACCTGTTAAACCAAATGATGAATAATTATAAATAAGCAGAAACATGCACAGAAAAGAATAAATTGTGTGTCACTAACATTTAACACTAAGAATGAATTCTTTTTGCGCTTTCCTGACATTTCATTATAAATGAATACAATTCAATTTATGAATTTTATTAAACATGTTGGTGAAAAACATCCGAAACAAAACCAACACATCTCTTGAAAGTCCCAACACTAAGTCCCGTCACTTAGCTCTCCTTACCAAGAATAAGAGTAAACATGTCATGAATAATTTCTTTTCTAATCAGCAGAACAACCAGAAGGTCGGCAATCACCACAACATCCTCCTCTTTGCCCTTTGTGATGGCATTTAGATGACCACAGTGTTATATAGTGGGTGAGAAAGGCCTTATGCTGAGGGATGGTGAGTTTCAAGTCCCAGAGGCGGTGGCCTGGTAGCCCCAGTGACGGTGCAGCTGTAACAGCTCAAGTGATTACTGTCAGGAACACACCGTCTCTAGAAGATTGAAACTGCCATTGGTTGGCTTTGATGTGGGTTTGAAGACCCAGGCTGCCTGATGAAGACTGACGTCAATTAGACTCATTCCAGAGATGTGTCTTGTTTTTATACTGATGGAAGATTGAAGCAAGATTTAAGTGGGTTTGAATGAAAACCGATGACGCTGCTATTTGAAAATTACATGATGTTTTGTGCATTTTAATTTGTGTAATAAATAAAACGTTAAATGACAGATGTAAGTGCGAAAGGTTGCGGAGATGATAAGCTAGCAAATGTGTCATAGTTGCCAATCAAAACCATTGTATGGATGATTCTATATGCCATTCGGTATTCATTGCGATTGACAAATAAAACAAAATCCAGAGTTAATGCGTAAAGCACATTGAGTGAGTGAGTTGTGTTTAAGGCGCTTTTAACAGTGTTCCAGTTATATCACGGCGTGTCAGCTTAATGAGGGAGGAAAGCCCACGAGCACGGGTATGGAGCTGAAAAACCTAGAAACATAATCGGGGCGAACCGGGATTCGTACCCACGATCAAAGGTTTCTGGCGTGTCCGAGGAACGCAACTCTGCACAGCGAGTCGCGGCGCCATAGACGACTGCTCCACCAGTGCCTCCGTACGGCACATTGAATGGAAAGCCATAAAAAGTTCATCAGTTTTTAAAATCCTAAACATTTCTTATATTTATAAACATAAGATGAGATGATTATCTTCATTTTCACCGGTCAACATTCAGCTTGGTTTTATTGAAGCTTAACGCACATAATCTATTATGTTCAACAGAATTTACCCCCACCCTGTCTCAAGTACTAAAACGTACAGGTTATTGTGTATCGTAGCACTCAGAAATATTGCGGCTGTATAACGGCAGCCTGTCTGGACCAGACAAACCAGTGATTGGTATTATGAATAACGTCCAAAGCCGTTGAAGTACGATGAACGCTATCAACCAGTCTGTCCAAACTATCCATAAAGTCACGTTTCACGACTTTCATAATATGCAGAGAGCCTTTGTTATTGCCTTTATATCGACACGATAGAAGATCGTTGCATTGAATATATCAGATAAGGTAACGCTAAAAACATATTTCATGAACAATGAGTGAGTGGGTGTTGGTTTAAGCGCCGCTTTGAACAGCTTTGTATAATTTTAAGGTATTTCGTAGACGTCCAACGCTTTGGTGAAACCACCTGCACATATATGTACTGACAAACTATTCCTAATCAGGGTAAATCCTGCATTCGAACCAACGACCATACTGGCAAGACTACGTGACGCACAGCGAATTGCGGTGCCCGAGGCCACTGGGACTTGTCGTGACACCTAATTTATTAGGTAATCCGCACAAGATTGACATTAAGAAAATAAGCGTACCTTTTATCAAGATGCCATTTACACAGTTATGAAGTCTGAGTCTTTATGTAAGATCCCATTGACATTTCAGAAACTTCTTTATTGAATTAGTAACATCTAATCTTGAACAAGGGCGGTCTGAAGCATCAACTCTGTCAGCAAAAGCCATGCATGAACGTAAGCAGATAACACCAGTGACCTTTCACAACCTACTTTCCTCCAGAACAGAATTTCTTTCCTCAGATTTAATTAGTGAGACCAACTTGGACCTTCAAGGCGTCAATATCTGAAATATTGCCAACACCCGTGTTCACTCAGGAAGTAGGATTATGTCGGCGTGAGACACGGAATAGTTTTACAGTCAGCGCTTGAAAAGATACGTTACGCTCGGACCCTTGGTCAGTAATGATGGACTGACTCAGAATACTTATGGATACACACATAAATGGGTTGCGGTGGGGTTGGGGGTGTGGGCGTGCCGGTTTGATAGTACTAGCCCACTGAGATATCACTGCGCAGTTTTAACATGGAAACCCTACCTAGACACAGTATACTGACTCAGAGTCGAACAGTCCTTATTTAACCTCTTTTATGCCTAGCGCCAGGCAGGGTATCAACTACCTCTAAAAATGGCGACAAAATGGCGTGAGGTGAGGTAAAATGGGGTTTAACGACGCGTCCGAGATTATTGCACTTATATAGCGACGTCGACAAAATGACAATAACCATGGATCATTGGATCTTGTTGACACTTCACGTATAAAACCCGCGTCAGATATAATTACCATGGAGACGGAATTAAATTCTTATGGGCCACATGGTGTTATGGACCACTTGCAGGACATGGGTCAGTTACCGTGGAGACAGAATGGATACTTTTGGCACGTTGGCTCTAATGCTCTAATGGACCTTGTATTAAAATGGCCTATAGCCGCTCAGCGTGGCGGCCAAATTAGGCTGCACATGGACGGCCGGTTCTGAGCTCCATTTACCAAATGTTTCCCGACTTCCTGTTTCGGATCATGGAAACATTGTTATGATGGTCAGTAACTGAGCATTTCCCACACGATGAGTGCTGGCAGATATAGGGAACGGATGACTGGGTCCACTGGTCACCTTTAGACATGATGTGCGCTTCCGGTGGCAAGTACGTACATAATAATGTTGCTTCTACTTGGGGCTAATTTGATCAATGTGTTGGTCTGGCCTTATATTCCCCAAGCTTGTCGATCAGACACAAAGCTCTTGAAATACAAGCACGAGGGTCTAGCATTAATCTCCATCTTACCAGAACATTTTATATAACTTGAATGACGACCAAGTATACACTAACATCAGTAACTGTTGAACCATTTACATTGGACTGTATTCTTGGACATTTAATTATACCTCACATGCTAAGAAATAAGATTTAAAGAACGAATGCTGTTTTATACCAGATATTAATGCTCTATTAAAATAAAATAACTCATCCCTTAGTAATATCGTATATGTCAAATATAATGTTTCTAGCAAAACGGAAAAGACAAATTAATTCAAAATTTACAATCGTTATATGTCATACATAGATCTTTAAATGTATACTAAAAGCAAACGAACGTTCAAATACACATGAACAAATGAACCACCAATCTCGTCACCAAGGAAAGCGTTACCAAAATTTATAAGACAAAATACAAAATTTAAAACAAATTAATATAATTAGATTTCTTTGATTTTGAAGGTCACACATTCAAGTTACTTGAACTGAACATGTCTAACAGAAAGATTTTGTCTTTCTTCTAAACGTCTTCATATAGGTTGATTTCAGATGTCCAAATAAGTCCCCCCCCCCCCCCCCCCCACACACACACACACACACACCTTCCCGCCACCCATACAACCATACTCTCTGCGGGAGCCTTCCCATGTGTCTCTTCTGAGGATAGAAACACGGCGCCCAGAAGCAACGCATGAGAAGTATATGGACTGAATCTATACCACAAGCTTCAGAATACATTGTCACAGTGAGAATCCCGCTGCGCGTCGTCTACACGAAACCATTCACACTTTACTCTAACGTGATGTGTGTGTTGTTATCCCACAATGAAACTGCGGATAGTGTTATGGAAACGTCTTTCATTA